GTATATATATATATATATATATATATATATATATATGTATATGTATATACTGCTTCACCAAACACGTAAGCGAAATCAGGTGTCCTACGTCACCGGTCTATCTTAAGCGCCACAAACAACAACATCCAACAAGATGCACGGTAACCACGAAAAGTAACGCAACGCAACAGAAAGTACCGGCGCACATTCATTTCCTTTATTTTTTAAGCACGCGAGTTCCAGCCAAAAGTGGAGTGTGCAATAACAAATCAGCAATGGAGAACGCCAAAACAGAAGAGATTTGTTCTCTAGCAAAAAAAAAAGCCTCTGTGATGAAAACTCGAAAAAGGAATGCGAGCGCTTCACATCACGAAATATGGAAAAGAACGAAACGTGAAATCACAAACAACGGCATTTCATCCCCTCATGACTTCTATCTTCTTATTTCGTGATCGCGGCGCTGTCGATGTGCAGCGTGTCGAGGGTCTGCTGGAACAGCGGCAGGTACTTCTCCCACGTCTCCACCGACGTCTCCCAGCGCACAATCAGAACCGTCGAGTCGCGAGGCAAGATGTACGAGCGGCAGCGTCGGCCGTCACGCGCCTCGTGGAACATGACACAGCGCATGCCGCTAAGTTCCGTCATGCTGCTCGACACCGCTGCCGCCTCCCAGTTGGTGAAGTGAAAAAGAACGTTGTGACGCAGCTCCTCGCTGTCCTTCTTCTGCACCTCCCACGTATCGGGCAGTTCGAGAACGTATTCGATTGACATAAGCGGCGGCGCCTGATGGTCCTCGCCGTCGTTCATAACGTCCTCACCCAGTGGGTAGTACAAGATCGTGGGGAGGTCCGTCATCCAAGGCTCATAGACCACCGAGGAGCGAGGGGACACCGAGAAGAGCACCCCGAGTTGGGGCTGGGCGTATACCATCGTCACCATGTTCGCCCGTACGTGCGTGGAAGCCGCCAGTGGGCGCGCAGTCACCGCCTGGAACGCCGCGGCTGCTGCCGGGTGTGCGTTAGCTGTGGCGCCGCTCCCCCTCCAGAGCGTTGCCGCCGCTGCATCCGGCGCCTCCAGCAAGGCCGCAAACACCTCCTCCGTCACCCGCACCTCAACGGCCTCCTGCGTGGAAAACGGATTCGGCTCAACGATCAAGGTGAGGAGTACGTCCTGCGCCGCGGCCGCGTCGACCGACGTCTCTGCTGTCGTGGTGAGAGATTGGTTGCCCAACATGCTACGCACGGAAACTTCGGTCGGCACGCACAACTCCAGCTCGCGGCCCTCGCGGACGCACAGTACTCGGTAATAGCCACGGTGAACCGCGAAGGCTGCACCGCCGGGCAAGCGGGCATCGAAGGGGGACGAGGCAGAGGAAGAAACACCCTTGTCCGCCGAGGCCAATGGAACAGTTAACGTCGCCTGCACTATCCCACGAGTCACACCGGCAAGATCCATGACAACATCGGTGGAGACAGCAGCTGCTGACGTGGGGATCTTACCCCCGTCCGGCGTGGCAGCCGCAACAGCCTTGGGCGAGACAGTCGACAAGTCGGCATTGCCAGACGCAGCGGCGCCACTGAAGGTTCCCTCAAAACCGCTGAGGACAGCCACGACAAAGTAGGGGCCGTTCACACCACCCAGCAACACACAGTTCTCTGAGCCCTCCAAGAGGTGCGTAAAAACTGGCGACACCGCATCTGCAGCATCCCCTGTTTTAGCTGCTGGAGGAGTCGCTGGTGCAGCAGTGTCTTTCTTCTCTGGTTCAGAAAAAACGGTAGCAATGGAAGTCCACTGCGTCGAAAGGACCGAAAACTGACCCTTCAGGACAGGGTGGTGCGCAAGGAGGTCGGTCAACTGCTGCTGCCGCCGCGCCTCCGTGTCGGCAGAGGTCTTTGAAGAGGCCTCATCACTGTCCACGTCTGTTGACTTCACCGTCACAACGCCCGTGTGGCTGCACAGAATAAACGCAGAGGCGCCTTCTCCGCCCTTTTCGACTCCGGTAGTCGCCACGTTCGCCTTTCGAACAAGATGGCTGCTGCGCTCCACCTCCGCCATTTCGCTGGGCAGCACCAACGGAATCACCGCCGAATGCGGGGGGTAGAAGACGGGCGGTGCGACGCCCCACCCAGTGGGCAGCGACTCCGGCCGCACAAAAACCGGGAGGAGGCTTCGTTGAGCGGCCGCTGTCAAAGCAGCGCGGGTGGCATTCGCGGCATTTTGCCGGGCCGCCTTGCGCTTCTGACGGCGCTGCCGCAGCAGGAGCACGAGCAGCGTCGTGGAGACCGCTGCGGCAATCCACACCTTGCGATGGCCAGTGCCCTCCGTCATCCTCCTCTTTCCGAAAACAGTTACGTGTGTCGCTCCTAAGAGTAAAGGTAGCGTAGGTGTTCGAGATCCGAACCGCTGAACACGAGAAAAAAAAGAGAGGATAAGGGTAGCAAAATAGGAATAAAACCTCAGAATCTTTACAGCGTGAGGAAGGGGCGAGGAGTTATATTTTGGGAGGTGACCGTACCGAGATCAGGACCAGGAATATGAACACTGAAAAAACAGGGCGCGACGACTTCTACACACGGCGCAACACGCTACTCTTTTAAATGTACTGCAACTTGTGAATCCGTTGCAGCAATAGAACAGAACACTTTGGAAAAACAAAAATATGATCGTTGTGGTGGTTGATTCCCTTTTTTCTTGGTAGTTGGTTTAGGTGTTCGAATTTCGAGAGTTACTCATCAAAGGAAAAAGAAAGGGTTCTAGATCCGACAGCTACGACTCACGAGAAACAGCGTAGTCGGAAGCGTTTGTGTTGTTAAAAATGGAGTACCTTTCGGAGATGATAGTTAATGCAGTGAGCGGAGAAAAAGAACGCACGGTAAGCAAAAGCAGAAACGACAGCTAACAAAGATACTTCAAAGAAGGCAGTAAGGGTTTTTTTTTTGTGTGTTGTGGTGGTGAAGTAGTTTTTTGGGGGGTGGTAGCGCTCAACGACACAGCGGCGAAAAAAACAAAAAATCGAGTTTGAGAGAAGGAGAGACGATAGGGGCAGTGCGTTGGTGAAAACTAAACAAATGTTTGCGGAAAGTGCATCCGCAAACAATCAAACACCAGAGAGTTAACATTCGCTGCAGACGTCTATCTTACATATATCAGCCACCTTCCAGCGTTGCGAGGAATAGAGCCACACGCGTTTGTGTCTCTTCGACTCAGCTGAGATTACGCGCGCTGAGACCGCTCAAACAGTTGGTAGCTGAACAGGTTAGCTGAGAAGAGATCCACAGGAGGTTGCTTTCCGGCGACATTCTTTAGCTTTTTGCTTTAATCATCTTTGTGTTTATACAAGAACGTACAGTCGCATAGACTGCAGGAGGCTACATATGAAAAAAAAAAGATAACTTCTACACGTCCTTGGAAAAGACGATAGCTGAAACTTTGTTGTTGAGGAAGAAAAAAAACCGTAGTCTACTAGGAACGAAAGATAATAAAAACAGCCACGCTGCCTTTTTGTGGTTGTTGATGTGTACATGTGTGTGTTTGTGAGTTTGTCTGCTGAAGTGCAGAGAACTAGACTACGTAAGAGGAGAAAGAAAAAGAGAAAACATCTTCAAATTCCAACAAGAAAATTGGAAAAGGCGAAAACAAAAACAGAAGAGTATATCACTTAGGAGAAACGAACACCAACTGTACCTTTTTGGTGAGCATACGCCGTGCGGAGCGCCTTTTCCAGGTTTGGGATTCTTCCTTGCGTGCTTTATAACGACCATGGTGAAGAAGAAAAAGTCATTCTTCTCGCTGGCTTCACAAAGCGTGCAAGCACAGGCAACGCTCGTCCCCGACGACGTCGTCATGTGTCTGAGCCACGTGGTCGACGGAGTCGCTGCTGCAGCTCTCGCGAGTACAGCCCTAACGTCTCGTTCTCTTCTCCTGGAGAGGTGTAGGCCAACATGGGCAAGTCTTGTGCCGCAGTACCTTTTGGCGGGGCTGCGTACTCCGGGGCAGCGAGCCGTGTCGGCAAGTTCATCGCGCCCATACGAGCCGCACCCGGCGGCGAGACAAATCGACCTTTTTCTGGTGCTCCGAATCTTCCGCGGCTGGCTGCATCGCCGGTTGTTTTTGGTCCTAGCACCGATGTGAGCGCGGGCGGCCCCCGTTGAGGTACAATGCGTGTGAAGAAGGCTGATGGGTCGTTCTCTGCGGCGATCCGGGGAGAATACGCCGTGTCCTCTTGTTGGCCCTGTCGCGTCGATGGCTGCCGAAAGGCCACACCTGTGACCATACACAGAGGCGACTCACAGGTGCCGTTGTCCGCCTCCGTCGGTTTTGTAGGTGTGACAGGCGGGGACGCACGACGGATGTTCGAAGGGAAATACACATGCGTCGGCAACACCGTCGCGTTCGGCAGCGTCGGCGCGTCTGTGTTGCAGGAGATGCGTGAGCAGGCGTCTCCCTCAGCACCTTCACGTACGCTTTCGTGCTGTAGGGATGGGCTACAGAGGCGTTGCCCGGAGGGAAGGAGAGGGCCCTCGACGACGTTAGCGACGGAAGGAGAAGCGTTCGCATCGTTGTCCGCCACTGCATCGTCGGTTGCGCGATGAGGACCTCTCTGCTGATCTGCGTCGGCTGCTTGAACACTCGGAACTGCGTAGCCCGACTTGGTGAAGCGAGGCGGCTTCGACGTTCGACGCACGGGCTTCTTTTCTGTTGCCTGGGGAAGAGGAAGGGGTTTGGAAGAGAGAAACGCGGCGGGGAAAGAAGAAGAATTGCGCTGGGAGGAGTTCGGTGTGGTGTTGTTGGCGGCGACGGTGCCGCCCTCCCCAGCCCTCCTATCCGACTTCGGGTTCTCCAGCGGGGTTTTCAAATTGGTCAGGGTCAGGTAATCTGCCAGTTCACACGCCGGACGTGGTGGATGCGGCGGGTCACCAGCGACGGGTTGGGGCTGGAGAGATATAGCGTCCCATTTGTCCGCACGCACTTCGGCGACATTACCGCGAACTGCCGTTGCTGTCGCACTTGTCACACCGCCGTCGTCGTCTTTGGGTTGCAAAGGAAGAAAATGCGACGTGTTCGTTGTCAACGTGTCTCTGGAGAGGTTCGAATGCGTACAACACGGCAGCACACCCGTGGACGGTGGTGGCCCCGCAAACACATTTGCGGTTGCCACGGCTGCCTGCGTAGGCGATAGAAAGAAGGGCCGCTGCAACGGCAGGGCATCGTCCGGCCTCGCTGACTTTCCGTGGGACAAACTCATGGCGAGAGACTCCGACCCCGGCATGTCGCGGAGCGGCGGTGATGGTGTCGTCGACGGTGTATTCCTTGGTCGTGGCGGTAAGCGCTCCTCGGAGAGAAAGCCCAGCTTGTCGCCCTCAGCATTCAGCAGCCACACCTCGTGATCGTTGCCGCTGGTCGCGAGAACGCCCCGGTTGGAGAGCCAACGCACACACACCACCGAGCCAGCCGCTTCACTGTGCGGCTTCGACTTCGATTGTAGCTGGTGCTGCGGTAAGCGCGCCGCCGCGACGAGGCTGAGGTTCCGCTTACGCGGCACGGTGCGGTCACGATGGAGATCGTGCACCTCCACGGACCTCAGCCGCACAGGATCACAGGGCGTGTGCACCGGCGCCTCGCCCTTGCCTCCCTCTTCGCCGTCCTTGTTCTCCCTGTCAGTAGAATTCAACCGCCCTGCCGCAAAGAGCGAAAATGCCGGCCGTGCGGCGTAGGAGCAGCGGGGCAGTCGGTACCGTTGGAGCATCTCACACACGCGATAAACGTGCACTACACCCTTCGTGTCACCGAGGAAAAGGTGGTGGCTCTGTCCGTCGTAGCCCACAGCGGTGAACTCCTTTTCTTCCCTTAAGAGCGTCGGTGTCCGCGCTACAGAATTTTTAATGAGAGTCTCCGGCGCAACCGATTGATGATCGCGAGCGTCTGGGCAACTCGCGTGACCAAAGTCCACTGTATTATTTGCCCACGTGTAGGACCCGTTTGCGGAGGGCTGTTGATCATTGGTGTGCCCAGGCCCCGCCACCGCTCCACTCTTGCTGTCTGTCAGTTCATCTGTCCCGGCTTTGGCGACGGGGTGTCGCGACGCGTTTTTTCTTGAAAAGGACGAATTGCCATCCCGAAAAGGCGCTGTCAGCAGACGCGCGGAAGGAGTGCGAGACAACGATGCATTGGCGGGCTGCGTCGCCATACACGCTGCCACGTCCCCTGACGCTGACATCGACCCAGACAACTTTGCCGACGAGAGGCCACCAGCACCAGATGTGGAACTCCCTGGGCGTGTAATGTCGTACAGCGTCTCCTCCTCACTCGCTGCCGGCGGTGGGAGCTGTGGATGATAAATGGTGCCAAGCAACTCAAAGCACTCCACGGCAGGCGGACACGACCAGCACCGACATACCCCACCCGCGTGCACCGTCACCAGTACGGGTGCGGCTTCGAGAAAGGTCAAATCCACAATGCGGCCGTATTGCACGAGCGAACGGGTCTCCGGCGCGTCGGTCCACGCCTCCATATCGTACAAATACACTCTGTGCTCCGCATCCACCACCGCCACGAGCCCCAGCTCTTCTGCCACACGCATGTGTGTAAGCGCAACCGAAGACACGGTGAAGGTGGCGGCAGCCACCGTCTGCTGACTGTCCGCCTCGTTTCGCACGAGCAACATCCCGCCTGACGTGATCGCGATCCACGTGCGCAAGGTCGACGAAAAGTGCATCTTCTCTACGAAAACCGGTGTGCGGCTGCCGTCCGGCCCGACCTCGAAGGTGGCGGCGTTCCACAAGTGAAGCGACTCGTCGTCGTCACCTCCGGCCTCGGCGGCCAGCCCCTGCGTCGAGTACGCGTACACGTTGCCGTCCCCGGCGCTGAGGAAGACCCGGCTGCCCAGGTCGTCGAGACACACCGCTTTGATGTCCGCCTTCGCGTGCGAAGTGTTTTTCACCGTTGTGCGATCCAACAGCCCCCGCCGCACCCCGGTAACTCCATCCCACACGCCCAGCCGCGTCGCACTCCGCAGCAGAAAGGTATGGTTGCGCACATCATAGAGGACATCCTGGCACACCTCCACCGCGTCGCACACGTATGGGCTCCTGTTGCCGCGCAGGCCCCTGCACGTGATCGCGTTTGCAAAGCCGCACATGAGCTCCTCGGTCTCCGCGCAGTACACCAAAGCGTGGCATTGAGCGCCGCCGACGTTGTGGGTGCCTGCCGACTCCGAGAGGAGCGAATGCAGTCCGTTGTGGGTCAACATCATCATGTCGCGTCCAGCGCTCGCGGAGAAGCCGTCCATCGACTCGCTGATGCTTTTGGCCCTGCTCCGTGATTTGAGCGTGGTCGCTGGCGCCGCCTCTCCGCTGCCGCCGCTGCCGCTCGCGTCGTCGCCGCTGGTGCGACTGCTCTGGAAAGACTGCACACAGTGGTGGGTGGCCATCTCCCATACCTTCACCACGCCATCGCAGTCGGCGCTGGCCACGTAGTCCGACTCCACCACGTACACCACAGCCACAATGGCAGCTGTGTGGTCGCCGTAGCCCGCGTGGTCAAACGCCACCCCGGGCAGCGCACTCTGCGACCCGGCCTCCCACCACAGCAGCTGCCGCGAGCCCGAGGTGGCCGCCACGAGTCCGTTGTGCGCCGGGACGTACACCAGCGCGTGCAGGTGCTGGTGCACGACGCAGCCGATTTCGGACGACTGACCCGTAAGCAGCGAGGTCGCCACCACTCGGCCATCAAAGCCGGAGGAGTATAGCTGCGACCCGTACACGCAGAAGTCCACGAGGCCACCAGAGGAGCGCGAGTGCAAGCCTTTGTAAATGCGCTGCATCTCGAACGCCATGCCACCGCAGCGACCACGCGGGGCCGTCACGTGCATCACGTGACCGTAGCTGTCCCCGAGAAAGACGCTCTCGGCGTAGTCGGCGTAGGTGGGCGAACAGATCGGCATGACCCGCATGCGGCGCACAAACCCTTCGATCAGCAGCGGGGTCACTGCCACGGTGGCGATGGATTGGGCAAGGAGGCAGTACCACCCGCGCAGGAGGCGGTCGTCGGTGGAGTAACAGAGGAAGAGGTCGAGTTCTGCGAGGTACGAGACGGCGGTGGGGACGGAGCCGCCGAGCATGTCTGGTGGTGCGGTGAAGACACGTTCAAGTGATTCTTTCCCGTATAACAGAAAGGGGTAGCTGCGCGAGGAAACAAAAAAGACGGCGTTGTGGCTCTCTAAGCCATCCAAAATGCGAATCAGCGAGAGGTCCTCTTCTGTGCGAATCGTGATGGAGCTCCCATTGTCGGTCTTTGTGCGTGTCCGTGCTGTCCGTGCCCCGTGCACATCCCGACAGAAGCGCTTGTAGGTGAGCGACTTAACCGACGTGCTCGCTACGCTGCTCCCTCGCTGCTGCGCGGACGGGCTTGTGGATGTGGGACAGCGCTGCTTCGGTGGGCACTGCAGCGCGCGCGCGAAGGAGTAGATCCTCGTCCGTGTGGCACCGTAGCGAGCTTCAGCCGCGCCAGCACCCGCCTCTGCCACCACGTAATCCAACAGGTCATCCCATGTCACGCGCTGCTCGTTCCGCACGTCGATTCGGTTGAAGAGCTGCTTGAGAGGATCGACCGGCGTCGCACAGACACCGGCCAGCTCTTGTCGGGTGCGGACGCGGCGCAGGCGGGCTTCCTCGCGATTTGTGTCCTGACCCTCGAGCACATGCATCCCCGACGCCGTACACGATGATGATGTACCGGCCGAGGAGCCGCTGGTGCGGGCCACTCCCGGCGTTGCGGAAGCTTCTAGAGGCGATGCAGTGCGCGGAAACGAGGACGGCGACGGCAAATGGAGAGCGTCGGAGGAGGCTGGGAGAGACGAGTAGGGCGAACTCGCGGCGTCGTTTCCCGCCTCAAATTCCGCGTCTCCGTGAAGGTACGAAAGGAGGAGACGACGAAATTGCGCGTAGGTGACGCCGTGTGGAAAGGCGGAGAAGCTGTCCTGTAGGGAATTGAGGGCCTCCTCGTCGCCGAGGACGAGTGCCAAGCACGGAACATTTTGCGAGTGTAATACATCCATTGCGACTAAATGCGCACCATGGGTGTGCGCTCTAAGCGTCGACGAGCGCAGATGCAAAGGCGCGGGTGTTGTGAGACAGAAACGCAGCAAGAATAGGCGGAGAAGAAAAGTCAAGAGCAACAATAAAAATAGGAAAACGAGAAAGCCGCAAGCACACAAGGTCGAACAACCGGGCTAGTGGAGTCACGAGCATCGTAGCAGAGATGGAGAGAGGGAGAGAGAGGACGTAATGTGTCGCGCCTTCTCACACCAAGCAACAAAACACCTTTTAAAGGAAATCAGTCGTGTTTGCCTGCCAAGAAGCCCCTCACCTCTCGTCCTAAGCAAAACGTAACGAGTCCTATCCAATAGTCATCATTCAAATTTCGTTGCTCTTTACCCCCGAAAAGCATCACAAAAGAAAAAAAACGGAGAACAAAGATATCTTGTTTACATCGCACCCGCAGCGTCCCCATACTGCTTTACAACATTTCTTTCTTCAGCGTCGCGAGACCACGTCTGCCCGCACGGTGAGGCTTTACGGCGGTAGCGAACAGCCAAACGGCGAAAACAACGATTCTCGACGAAACCGCTTCTGCGCTTCCTTCGTGTTCGCTGAGTGCGCTCCTTCTCTCCTTAGCCACCATGACGCCAGACGACGACGTCCGCACCTTCTATCTGAAAATGGCAAAACCTGAGCCGCTTATGCGTGACAAACGTGGCAAAGTCGTGTCCGTAGATGACGTGCCAGCACCCGCCGAGCTTATCGGTGATGTCTTTCTTGATGTCGGCCGCGATGCTGCTCAGCGCCGTGCGTTCCACATCCCGCTCCAGCTCGCGCCGCGAGCCTTCATCCTTTCGCCAAGTGGTTCGTGTGGGGAGGAAGACGTGTTTGTTGTAGGCGCTGAGAGCGCTATTCATGATCAGCTGCAGGTCCCTAGCGGGCATGTCGACGTCCAGCGCCTCCATTGTCACCTGAGAGGCCCGCACGTCGAGCTCGTCCTCCTCTGCCCCTCCATTCAGAGCCATCGCACTGGCCATTTTCATGGACGACAGCTCGGAGCTGCGGCTGGTACGTTTCGCCGGGGCGGCATCGTTGGTGGTTTCATGTTGACTAGGGCGTAGCGTGTAGCCGAACGCGTCGGGTTTGCCAACGCCTGCCTCTTTCATTTTTCTTTATTATATGTTGTTGCTCACTACTGTGCGCTGCTGCGCTACTGCTCTGCGGCTAGCCTGTTCTGAGGCTGTGAGTTGCTTCTTCTTAATCTCAGTTCCACGTGACGTTCACGCTGCGAGTGGTCACCTCTGATGAAACCAGAAAAAAAAAGTTTATTCTTAGAAATCAAAGGAGAGAAACGGAAGAGCAGGTGCAAGCAACGCAAACGAGGTAGAAGCCATCCACACTGTTAGCGCGGAAGGGATGCGCGTAAGCGATCTTACGCAGGAAAAAGAGATGGACTTATTTGGGTTGCGGCAACACGGCAGCGAAAGCACCACCACTGACAATGGTGGACAAAAGGAATCCCGTGCCACCCTTTCCGTTATGTTTTTTCACTTCGTGTGCGAGGTGCTTCAGAGCCGTACTCATCCCGGTTGTTTTTGTCTTTCTTTTCGCTGCACCATATCAACTAGTAGCTGCGTAGTTGTTTACATGGTAGCAAGAGCTCTGCCCAAAAGCAACAGTTAACGTACACGTTGGTGAGAGAGAATTATAAAGCAGCAACGCAGCAAAGCAAAAAAACTGTAGCCTCCTGGAGCCGGCAGAGATGAACGACAACTGTAGCATGAAGCAAAGACGAATTGTGAATGAAAGGAGGCAGCACAATTGCGAGGGAGCGTGATCGTAATGAACATCTGCGTGTCACTCATTCTCCATGCCGAAGAGAACAAAGAAAATGAGGAGAAGAGGGAGAGTGAGAGGAAACACGAAGCAACAGAAAATCGATCTTTACGAAAGAAGACAGCACCCTCTCAGTCAGTGCACATCCCAGCGGTCCACAATGCAGTTCAAAGAACAATAAGGAGCAGCAACAACACAGAAGAAAAGTGTGAGCAAGGGAGAAAAACAAAAAAATAATAATAACAAGGATGATCACGTCGACATACGCAACGACAAAAGGGGGAAATGAAATACGGTTTACGTCCACGACGAATTCCCGCTTCACCCCGTTACGTATATATTATCTTATCGGCAGAGCAACAAGATTTTAAAAGAGCGAAAAAAATAATAACCCCAAGAGACTAAAACGAACACCAGAAAAAAAAACAGCGCTGCAGATGAAGCGGCGCAGATGAAAAGAATTCGAACATCAAACATACCAGAAAAGAAAAGGAGGTAGCAACAAATTACGGAAGAGCAGCGTAGTGAAAGATTGGACTACGTTGGCAGAAGACTCTCTGCTGCGAAGTTGAAACGAATTGAGGAGAACGTCTTCCACGCTGAAGAGTAAGATCTGCTTGCAATGCGCCTGAACCGGTTCAAAAGAAAACGTGACCGCATGATGCAACAACAAACCCCAAAAAGGAAGACGTCGACTCTAAGAGAGATAGGCATCAAGATTCTTGAGACCCTGGACAAACCCGACCGTCGACTCGTCATAGTTGAACTTCCGCCATGTCGACCGCGCGAAATCGATGAGCCGCAGCCGCGCTGCCGCCGGTGAGGCCGCCGCGTCGTAGAAAAGCAGCACGCTTGTTGAGACAAAAGCCATGCGCTGCAGCAGGAAGATACCCTGCGGTGTCTCCTCGAAGAACTGCAAGAGAGCTCGAATGGCTGCCCTGATATCTGCGATGCGCTTGTCCGCCTTGCACTTCTCCGTCTCGCTCACATCCGCCAGCGCCTCTGCAGGAAAGACCAGCGTGCCGTCCTCTGTCACCTTCGCCAGCGGCACCCCAGAAGAAAAGAAAAGTTTCAGACAAGTGCTCAGCTCCGCCACGTCGGAGACCGCGTAGCCGATTTCCTTGCCAAATAGCTCGCGCGTGAACTGCGCAGCTTCTCCCTCTGACTCCCCTCTCCTGTTCGAAGGGTCGGCGCTAATGTAGCGGTGGCAGCCGCAAATGCGTAATGCTGTGTGACGCATCAACGAATTGTGCTCCTTCATCAGCACGCGTGCAACTTTGTCTTGTGGTGTGAGGGGGGAGTGACGAATAAAGCCGATTTTCACATCCATGGCGCACGTCTTCGTCATGCCGGAGGCTTCGTTGACCAGGCCGATGCCCCAGACGCCGGTGTCGTATTCACCGTCAAACCCTTTCAGGCTCTCTGCGCCGTCAAACAGTTCGTGAAAGAGCGGGCCGACAAGGGTGCGGGCTGGCGAGCCTTCCTCCAGCACGATCCACTTACCCCGCTGGCCCACGTAGGGATGCAGCTCCACCGCTTTCGGCACAAACTTCGCGGGAAAGCGCAAAGCGAAGAGCGTGGGAGTGAGGGAAGCGAGTTTGCCCATGGCGTGAATGAATTTGATCCGAATCGAGTCGCTTCCATTCGATGCCGCCGCCGCCGCATCGGCCTCCCCCTCCCCCTCTTCTCCATCCTTGGCCAGCTCCATGGCGAGGTAGTAGAGGACCTCCCACGCCGTCGTTGTCTTCCGCAAGGTGCTGCGACCGTCGCGGGTGGACTGCCCATAGAAAATGCTAGATTTGTGACCACCCACCGCTTCGAACTGCGGCGACGAATTCGCACCTTGGGACATAACGGTGATTCTGAAGGGGCAGCGGTAGGTGGGGGGGGGGGGTCAGGGGAAGAAAGAGGAAATGGAAGGGGAAAAAATGTTGAAGAATCTGGAGCTGTTAAGGCGGGTTGAGTGGAGTGTTATTTCCACTGCACCGTGGAGGATGGCTCGAACTGCACAGAATTGGGTAGCACGAGCGTCGTCCTGATGTTGATGAGAAACAGCAGCTTCAATATAAAAAAGGGTTTTAAAAAGTCCAAGGGCAGCGCACGAGCTGTACTGCACTTGTCAGTCAGTAAGGAAATGACAGTACAGGTAGGAAGAAGCAGCAAACGAGCTAAGAGCAAAGGCGGAACGCGAGCGCAGCACTTGTGAGCGCCCTGACAGACACCGCAAAAGAAGATCTGAGAGGACTTACGTGTATAAAAACTCAAATCACGAAGGACAAGTTCAAAACCGTCGCAAAACCAAGAAGGAAGGAGGAGGAAGGAGGATATCAGTAGCGCTGCAAGCGTTACAAAGGCGAAGAGAAAGAAATCAAAGCCGCCGTCTTTGTCTGGTGAACGATAGAGAAGAATGAGTCTAAGCGCTACATAGAACAGAAGCTTCGTGTTTTCACTGCAATGATGATGCAGGAAAAAAAAAACGCTGCAGATGACAGAGATGCACGACCTTCGTAGGCCATCGTTGCAAAATACGAATACCTCAAAACGTTTTTGTTGGCGCATTGTTTTCAGGTTTCGCGGCAGATGTGGCATCGTTGACGTTGAGCAACAATTGTGTTGACAGCGTTCTCTTTTTTCTTCTGCGCCTGTCAATGACTCGAATCGCTCGCTGAGAAAATGGAGGGGAAAACCGTGAAGGACAAACAAAGAGGTTAATTGCTGTGCGGGTTTAAAAAACACTACTCATGTCCACTTTTCCTCGCTTCTTTAATCCTCGTTGTTCATCTCGCGGAGACGTCCCATCAGCTCCGCTGCCATGGGACGCGGCAACAATCGACGATACCACACGCGCAGCTTTGCGTTGGCCATGCGATCCCGCGCCTCTGTGCGAGGCAGCCGTTGAAGCGGGTCCAGCTGACCTCCGTCCTCGTCGGTCATGTTGCCGTAGCCGTACAAGCTGCTGCTGTGCACCATCAAAGGCGCCAGCTTCTCAAACATCGGTGCAGTGTTGATCCACTTGGACTCCATCGTCGTCGTTTTGGTGATATCAAGCGGTGAAGTTGGACCGGTGGATCCCGACACGTGAGAGGGATGCGCCGCCGTGGCGGCGGTTGGCGGAAGCAGCTCGTCTTCTGCGTCGTCGTCGTCCTCTCCATCGTCCCCCAGAAGGGTCACCCCGCGTGGCAGCTGTTGCTCCGACAGAGATCCATCACGGTGGTTATTATTGTGTGAAGAACGGTGCGGTGCCTTGCTGTTCGCAAACGATGCACGGATGTCGCTTGATCCTTTCACATTATGCGCGTCGGCGGAAGCCCCTCGGCTGCCCTTGTCGCTCTCCTCGGTTTCCACCTCCACCACAGCCGCTGCGAACTCATTGCGAAAGGCGGAAACAGAAATGTTCTTCCACACCCGCCGCCACGGCACCGGGGCAGGGGCGACACAAACAACCTGCGTGAATGGCACTTCGGTGCGGCTGTAGCGCGGCAGCGAGTCGGGGGTGCGTCCATCCTGCTGCAGGGTGGCCACCACGTAGGGCTCGGGGGTCACCCCACGCGCCAGACCAAACAACACCGCGAAGTAGGGATCACGGCGGTCGGCGAGCAGCACCACGCGACGGTGCGGCACCGCCTCGACGGAGGTAACCCGCCAATTCATCGAGCCCAAGTCGGCGCGTGAGAGTCGTTTGAAGCGCAGTGCACGCGGTCCGCAGAGCTCGCAGACGACGTCGAGCAAAAGCGAGTTCTGCATGTCCGTGGCGAGTCCAACACCGTGCCGTCGCGGGTTCTGCGATGAGGTGGGCTGCGTGCCGTGGAGGGTGTCCGTGGGTTGCGTCTGCGAGAGCACCGACTTTGACGCTGCAGCGACCGGGTCCAATCTGCGCTGCCGTCTGCGGCTGCGACGCGTCGGTGCGCCGCCGTCACTATTCTGGTGGCTCTCTGCCGTTCTACCGTCCCGGCCACCCATCCTCAGGCCGGCCTGTGACTGGGACTGCTGCGTCAGTGCGTTGTAGTTCGTAACAATCTTGTCCACCGCAGCGTCTGCCTCCGCGTGCGAGACGATAGGCTGGCCGAGGTGCTCCATGATGAGGTTCACAACGCGCAGCGGTGTCGCGTGCGGTTCCGGCACGACACCGCGGTGAATGTGCGGGTCCTCAAGCTGCTGCACGATGGCTCGCCGTCTTTGTTTGGCCGCCTGCAGCCTCCTCTCGTGCTCTGACAAGAGACGCGGCCGCTTTCTGCCGCTGTGATGCTGCCCATCCCACGCAGCTTGCAGAATTGATGTGGCGGCTTGTCTGCTCTCCTGAATGCACGTGCGCAGCTCCGCGGCGTTGCGCCACGGCGGCGTCTTCTCTGGTAATTGGTGCCAGTACACCTGTGACCCCTGTGTGGGCATTCGAGTAGTTTTGCTTTCCGCACACCCTTCCTCTTCAATGGACGCGGTTTCCGCAGGTTTTCTATATCGCGTGCGCGTGTGCGTACTTGTTCACCACGAGAGACAATGTGCAGCAAAGGTTCACGTTTAACGCTGTATGCTAGATGGCATCACGTACCATTGCTGAGCTGCCCAAGAGGCGGACTTGCAGGACTAGCAAGAAAGAAGAAAGGAGGAAGGTGATGAATTTGGCAGTGCCATTAAAGTAAAATAACAGGTGAGCTTTGTTGTACAGAAGGAGGCTTTCGTTGGAATCGTTTGCCGGTTGAATTATTCTGATATTACCACTGATCGGTGATGCTCCACGTTGTTGCTTTGTTGGTGCTCGTCTTTTCCATGGAAAGCGTCTATCAAAAAACAATGTATACGAAAGTGCATCTACAAGGCGAAAAGACAGCAAGGTGTGACGTTTTGTTAGTTAAACGGAACCCAACAAGTAGGGCTTCACGTCGTCGAAACAAACCTTGCCGTCGTGGTCTCTGTCCATGATCCAGAGCACATGCTGCGCCAACGCCTTTTGGCGCCTGGACAACTCAGCATCCTTCGTCGCAGAGCTTCCACGTTTGACAACAGAGGCAGACAGCGTGGGTTCTTCGAGCACCGCGCGGACATCCTGAAAAGGGTGTTGCATCGAAATAGAACGCACGTCTTCCAACGTTATGTAACCTTTGGCGCCGGCCACGCTTTCAAATTGACGCCAGCACTGCAGCGTTGCGGCCTTACCGGCCTCCGACGGCAGAGATAAAGAATCACTGCTGTCTGGTTCAGCGTTCATGGCGTGGTAAGGCTGGGGACGAGCGGCAACCAGTCCTGGCCCCTCCTCCTCAGCGCATAGCCGCACAAATCTCAAGAAGGCCTCTAGACAGATCAGTTTCGTACGGCTGCTATGGTAATGCAACCCCGTCGCTGTTTCCTCGGGAGAATAACCTTGAAACACTCTTTCCTTTTCCTTTTGTGCGATGTCTGGGACACGCGACGATCGGCTCGCGTGGCAATGTGCAGGGACGTGCGATGGGCTGGACGAGAACGCGGAACCGAAGCAGTCTGTGAGGAGCGTCGGAGATGGATAGCGGCCGAAGAGGACGTAGAAGGCGCACTCCATGCCCGCACGACGCAAGCCAACTTCTTCGACAGTGGTGCTACTGTTGGACTGTCGTACAAGACCAGGTGAAGGAAGAACTTCACGTCTCTTGTTGACCAAGGGCTCTGCGAAGAGATGAAAGACCTCCGTGGCGCAACTGTTGAACTCACCCCAGGAGCGGAACATTGTGTACGAAAGAAGTCTCCGACTGTAACGGTTGAATACGATGGGGTGGAAGAAACGCTGAGAAAACAAAGCGGGACACGTGAGGGATATTCAATTGATCGAGTCTTATTATTATTATTAAAAGCACCTCTGAGCTCCGTCTTTAAATGGAAAGAACTTCATCGAGGAAATAAGCGATACACACGAAGTGAGCTACACTCGTGCATGGCAATAATCGAAGCGCAAACACGCCGCATTCTTAGCCCCGAAGCACGACGGGGGCACACGGGGTCTTTTTTTTGCTTCATTTATTATCCCACTTCCGCAAATAGTGAAGAGGTAATAAGAGTAACGGAGTAAATAAATAGGTAAATATGGATCGTCAACGGCGCCATCCCCCATAGCACTCCTTTCTTTTTCCTATGATGGCGCGGTGTACCGGGGGACGTGCGGTTGCAGACAGCGCAGGCTGGAATAAACAAATAAAAAGCGACAGACGCTACGCATCAAGTACGCCATAGGACGGAATGTTCTCCGGCAGCCCCACGTCTGCAGCCGTCGCCGTCGGCTGCACCATCTTATGGTGCTCGTACGGCGCCCACTGCTTCATCTTCAGGTGCTCCTTCGTAAAAGTGACATCGCCGTCAATCGTCTTGATGAGCTCCTCCAAAGTGGTAAACGCGGACTGCATGCGTATCGTTTCGACGATGATAACGCGCAACACGCAGTTATAGAAGTCGGCCTCAAACTTATGTAAGAAGTGTACCTCAGCGCTGATATCAGCGTTTTTGAATTGCGGGTTGTTGCCTATCGACATGGCAAATGGGAACGGCCCGAGCTGCGCAGGCGTCACAGAGCGCAATGCCGCGTCCGCGTTCTTCGCCGCCGACTCGAGCTCGATACACCCCCAGCCCCACACGACCTGGTTGTCGTAGGGCTTCAGGAACTCGACAGCACTCTGGCTCAGCTCGATATTGGCAGTGGGGAATCCCAGCTGCGTCCCACCGCGGCCGAAGCCGTGAATGACCTTCCCACGCAGGAACCAAGGCTTCATGCTGCTCACTATGAAGAATGACCACCTATTTTCAATGGGGCAAAACGAGGAAGAGAACAATAATAAAGATAATACTAAAGATAATAAAGATCGGGTAAAAACGCGCGGAAACACATAAGAGTTAAAAATAAAATAGGCTGTGCGCTTGAGTGGCGTTGAAGAAACGTCCACGTTTACGTCAAGGAATAGAGCCGAACCAGGAGAGAATAACAACAGTAGTAATAATAGTAATAATGTCTCTCTGCAACCTTTGCTTTTTTGTTTTTTTTTAGCGTTGGCGTCTCCGTAGTCGACGGTGATGCGGTGCGGCAACGACAGCAACAACGAGAACAGCCGTAGCGCTTGCAGAAAATCAAATCCGATGTGCGTGAAGAAATCGTGAAAAAACGGGCGTTGAGGTGAAAGGAGAAGCGAAGAAGAGAAAGCGCGAGAGAGAGGCCGTTAAAGTCGAGACTGAATGTCAGTCACATCCATTTTTCTCCCCTCTGCAAGGCTTTGAAGATAGGGGATTCTAGCAGGTTCTCACTGCACTACCGAAATCACCACGCGACCGCGACAGTTCCTCACGCGGAGACAAGCAAGCAGCATTAACGATAAAGTCTCAGAACAACGCTGATGCAAAAACAAAGCACGGGAAAGCGTCCAGGTAAGGATATGGTTACAGTTTCTACTTCCACTAAGCCTTTCTTTTTTCCCTGACAGAGGAAGCTCGTGCTCACGCACAGAATCCATCAGAAATATTGTTTCTTAAAGAGGAGTTGCGTTCACAGGAAACTTGTGATTCCAAAAGGTCTGGTTCACACGATGACGTTGGGCAACGGCATAGTTATAAACGCACTGTGTAGGGGTCAGAGAACGAAAGAATACGAAGGAAGAGAAAGGAAGAGGAAAAGAAAAACGGCTAAACAATGATGAAGGGGTGATTGAGCAGCGCCGCGGCAGACGGGCGCTTAGTGTAATCTATCGTTAAGCATTGCTCAATAAAGTCGTGTTCTACCGAGGTCGAGTTGGGCAACGCACCAAGCGTAGGCGTGAGTCTGCCGCTGCCCACGCTCGCGATAAACGCCTCGGGATCTACGAAGGCCTCCGCCGGGTACGGGTACTCGCCCGTCAAGCACAGGTACATGATCACCCCCACACTCCACACATCGTTGGCGGGATGCACCAAGCCCCGACACGCCTCCGGGGACATGAACAGCGGCGTCCCCACAACCGGTGCGTGTATTGGCTGCTGAAGTGACGAGTCGGTGCTGCGTATGGAGCGGCCCTCTGACGGCCCCTGACGGGAGAGACGCGCGGATGTAACAGACGTTGTGGTCGGGCTCACCGTGACACTGCGTGAGCGAGGTAGCAGCATCGAGCGACCGAAGTCAATTAGCTTCGCCTGGCTGCTGTCCGACGCGTTCGTGATAAGGATGTTGTTAGGCGACACGTCGCGGTGCACGATACCTTTCCCGTTGTGCAGGTAGTCGAGGGCGCGAAGCAAACCGCAGACGTAGTGGCGCACAACGCCCGGTAACAGCCGGCCGAATTTATCCAGCACCGACGTCAACGTGTCGCAGGCGTACTCCATCGCCATGCACAGGGCTGCGTCATCCTCCCAGTCGCCAACGAAATGCACAATGTTGGAGTGACTCAGCCGGCGAAGCAAATGGATCTCGTTGCGCTGCAGCTGCACCAGCTTGCGGGAGCGCTTGTCTACTTGCTTAATGGCCACCAGATATCCCTGCGGATGGAAGCCTTGAAACACCTGCGTCATGCCGATGCGGTCGCCGGTGATGCGTCGCGTGCGGGTGCACACCACGGCGGCAAACGTAGAAGCAGCCCGCACCGACTTCATCGAACGTGAGCGCTGCGCCACCGACGTCATCGAGCGCTCCCGTGAGACCTCCGCGAAGCTCGTCAGATCGGGGTCACCGCCGGTTGTGTTGGTGTGGTCGCCGCCGCCGCTGTCGTCCTCGTCGTCCTCCACGCCCGGCAGTGTCGCGGCGCTGTCCAAGAAGAGCGGGAGCGTCGTGGGGTACGGTGTGCTGCGCTGTTGTGTGCGGCCCGACAGCGTCAGCGATTGCGCTGACCGTACCGAGCTGGGGACGCAGATCGCACCCTCAGCGGCACCTCGTTGGTATTCCAAAGGTTGGAAAGAGGGAGCTGCTTCGACCCTCGCACCAACGAGCTCGCCTTCCTCCGACGTAGTGCCAGGCAAAGCAGAGCTGCTGCGGCCGCGTGAACGGCTCCCGCGGCTGTCGAGACTGCTCTTTCGTCGCGCGCGTCGCGCGCCACCGCCCTGGGGAAGAGGCGGCGGTGGGATCTCGCTCACACCCTCCGCAGGCCTTCCTCCCGGTGCCGCCAGCAAACACTCACCTGGCGGCAACGGCACGATCGGCGAAACCGCCGAGGCATGCAGTGCCTGCATGCTGTCTGACTGCGGCGGCAGCGTAGGCGACTCGGGGGAATCCTCCTGAACGACGTGCACCTTACGCGGGAGTGAGTTGGGGAAGGCGGAGGAGGTCGCCGCATTGGCACACTGCGCGGCGTCGTCAAGGTTGAGTGGCTGAGGGGCGGGGTCGCGTCGCTGGAGTTCCTGTAACGCCTGCGGTAGCACCACAGGCGTCATCACGGTGGTGCTGCTAAACCGGCTGCTTGCCGGCGAAACGGAGACGACAGCAGCACCTCCTCCTGCTGGAGGAGGAGGGAAGTGTTCTGCGGGAGCGGGTCGGGCACTCCAATGGTCAGGTAAAGCGGACGGCGGCGTCATCAGCGACAGTGAATTGCTGCCCACACGCACAGATGATTCGAGCGTCAGCGGACTGTGCAGCCAGTGAGCATCGCTGCCGGAGGAAACAATTAAATTCCCAAAGAGGGTACGGGGAGAAGCAACGCGCTTCTTTGGATCGCTGTGCGCGTTGGCGGGTGCAGAGAAAACGGAAGGAAAGAAGTAGTGCGACGTCATACGCGACGGCGTCGCAGGCGCGGCCGCCTCGTTGCCACCGATGCTACGTTTGCTACTGCCATGGCGGACGTCTGCCATCCTCACCACATCGTGGAACAGCCGCGGCGGCGGGGAGGCCTGTCGACTGCTGCTGCTGCCGTTGTTGTCCACCGCCGCTGCACCAGTGGCGGCGGGAGAAGAAAAACTGTGCCACTGTGGGCCGGCGGAAGCCCCGTTGGTGTCCTCTTCCCATATCGGTGGCGGCCGGAAGTACGATTGCATCAGCATCTTTATCAACCACTCCGAGAAGCTGGAAAAGAGAGATGCCGCTGTTGTTGAAAGCGGGGGTGAAGAGGCAAAAGAGGCGTAGGAGGAGCGCAAGTCCAAAACAGCCGTGCCGTAGCGCCCGTCGCGCTCGCCGTGGCTCAGTGCGCCAGTTAAAAAACGCGCCACGTACAGCAAGTGCTGCGCAGCAGGCAGAAAAGGTGCACCGTCACCACCGTGCTCCTTCCACGCCTTCAGACGCCGGGACGCCTCGGTGTAGCGGCCGCCGCGCATGAGGCTTAGGATGTCCGCCATGCTCCGCTTGCTGCCCTCTGGCACAGCTTCGTCGTGCAGCTGGTACACCAAAAGCAGCCGCTGCATGCAGTCCATCACGTAGTCCACTGGCAGCCCCTTCGCCTCGTTCATCGCGTCCGTGAAGAAGTCGGCGTGGCAAAGGACGCCGTAGCCGCACAGCGCCGCGAGTTGCGCCAGGGACCGGGCCACATCGTACTCAAGGGTGCCAAAGCTAAGGGTGAGTCGTCCGTTGCCGCCGCGAGCGGGCCGCAGGACAGTGCGGAAGCGATGCACCGCCACGCCCCACCGCACACGTTGGCCGCGATACTTCGGCGACCACTCTGCTAACTCTCTCTGTGCCGCCAGCGCCAGTGCGACGGCGGTGGCGTTTGCCACAAGGAGCTGGACGGGCCACACCGTGTTCAGCGAAAAGACTACCTCGGCGATGCCGCACTCCGTCATGTATACCTGCCGCCCAAGTCCCGCGCGGCGCAGGCGGGTGTGGAACTCCAGAGAAAGACTTTCCAGTTCTTTCAGCTGTGCCTTGGAGATGGGTTGCTGCCCCGCTAAGAGCGGCGGCGGCACGAGAAAGCGACACACAACGACGGTGACAACGTCGTGCAGCCGGCTCTCGTCGGCGGGGTGCTGCGGGCGGCGAGATAGGACGACCTCCTCGACGCGATCTCGCTGCGCGCCCGGTCCGCTGCTGCTGCCGATGGAGCAGACCTCGCTGGTCGCCGAAAAGGGTCGTGCGACAACGCCGCCTCCCGTCAACGCACCAGGTGCCCTTACCGCGTTAAAGAACGGCCTGTCCACCTGCTCACGCGCTTGCGGGGATGGCAGCAACGGTGAGGGGTCATGCGGGGCGGAGACGCTTAGGAAGGGCAAGACCTCACCAGACGCCGCCTGCGGTGCTGCCAACGCATCGAGCAGAGCAACGACCTCGCGATGCCAGCGCGAAAGTGTGGAGAGTGACGGGGTCAAGTCGCAAACGTCGAGGCGCACACCGGGCACAGTGACAGTCGAACTCAATGCAGCGTAACCTGAATCGTCACCAGGACTCTCAAGAAAGTTGGACGCGACATGCGCTCCATCGGAGGAGGCAACGTCGTATGAAAGGTTGGCGCACAGCGCAAACACACATTTCTGATAGCGAATCGCTCGCCGGTAGAGCAGCGCGTACACGGCAAGACCCCCACCGAGGCCCATGACCACAGCACAGAGCAACGTCCCTAACATGAAGGTGAGGCCCCTCTGCGACATGGATCCTACGTGGGTGGGATAAGAGTGCCCGGGGTAGCCCCCCTCCTGCACCCCGACTGCCCAAAAGTGCAGACCGAGCAACAAAAGGCAGCCGCAGAAGGGCAATGCGCAGAAGCACGTCCCAATCGTAAGCAACGCACAGGAGAAACTGTGGGAGTGCGCAGCCGGAGACTTCATCTGCCTCACATAACTCTGCAGCGTCACATGAGACGGCGGTAGTCGTGTCGACTCGTTGCGTGGTGAAGGGAAAAGAGAGTGCGGAGGAGTGGGTTGCGGCATTGGGCCTGCGGACGACGAAGGTAACGTGAAAGGGACAACACATTCGTAGGGATGCAGCCCCAGCTCTATCTGACTGTGGCTAGCGGACATCTGTGCTCTAGAGAACGTACGACACGCATCGGTTGCACTCGTTTCGAAATCAGGTTGATAGGGACCTGGGCAGTTCGCATCGACGCCGGGAAGCGGCGGTTGTGGGGGCGGTTGCTGCTGTTGCGGAACTGGCGGCGTAGTGGAACGCATCTCTCGTGGTGACATCGTGCGCTGCCTGCTGGGATGAAGTTCTTCAGGAGGGAATGGCCGTGCGTCAGACACGGCTGTCGGTGTCGCCACCTCGTCTGCATACCGTCCTTGCGCCGGCGAGAGGGCCTGATATGCTGCCGAGGTAGACACGCTGACGTCTGGTGCTTCCCAATAGCGGTCCGCAACCGTAGCTGATTCATGCTGGGACACTGTGTGAATCACCTTTAATGGACTGTGGAAGTCGAAAGACGGCTGCAGTGGGTTCGCCAGCGGTGGAGATGGCAGCGACGCAAAAGAGGCTGACATGACCACCGACGAAGACAACGAAAGCGGCGGGCTGGTCCTCAGATTCATGGGAGCACGTGGAGCCGTCAGCGAAATGTGTGTCTGCGGCAGCGCACCTTGCGGACTGGACGGTTGGGTGGGTAAATTGAAGGGCGGCAGCGACGACAATGGTGGCTCAGAGGGCGGCAGCGGCGACGCATTCGTGCTAAACTCACTCAGGTCCATCGCGAAGGAGCCGGACTCCGCCGTGTGTTCGTCGTCGTTGGGTGAGGAGACGCCGAAGACGTGTGGGACGACCACGCCAGGCTGCGTCGTGACCGAGGCAGCGCTGCCGCCAAAGGTGCCGTTGGAGTCTCGCACATCCCTGCGTTTGTGTAGAGGTGCGCGTGTAGATCGGGTGGTCATTGCCGCGGGGCAGCCGGGGACTAAGTTTAAACGATTCGATGACTGAATGTGAGCCGTGTGTGTTGGCCCCGTGACGCCTGTTACACGCGGACAATTTACAGCTGCGGCAGTGCTGTTGGCAGAGGTAGTGCGCAACGCCATCGCTAACGGCAGTGGTGAAATTGGCCACATCGCTTCGATCTCCGGCTCTGTGCACTTGTTTATGTGGTAATCCTGTGCACCGGAGTCAATCCTCATTGCTTTTGTTCTTGTGGTGATGGCTGTGACGTACTCTTCATGCGATCGATTAACACTGACCTGCGGCGGTGATGCCCCAATACCAGAGTACGATGGACTTTCAAAGACGGCTGGGTCGTCAACCTCCATCGTCTTCTCCTCTAACCTTGGCGAAGTCTCCGAACGTGAGACGCCTGGTTGAGGAACGTCATCATTGGGACGAGGACAACGAAGATGAAGTTGGGTGCGGTCCGCATCTCGCGCTTTTCCCGCACCGTTACCGCTCATGCACTGTGGTGCGGTATTCTCCGGTGCAGCGTACACCACTACATCCTCGCTGAGTCGCCGCTGATGCCTGGCATGCGAAGAAGGCGGGGCTGTCGCACTCGCCGCGTCTGCCGTAACTCCACGCGCGCCTGCGCCATCGCCCAGCCAGCTCGTCCGCGGTTTCACTTCGTCCTCCACTGCTCCCTCCCCGCTGATGAAGGAGACTTGCTTCCGTGGTGAAAACAATGGTCGAGGCGAGGACGGCGATGTGGCGCCGTAAGCCGGGCTGCTGCTCATCGGGTTTACTTCTTTTTCGTTCCTTTTTCCCCTTTTTCTTCCAAACGAAAAACGGAAACACAAGAAAATGAGAATGGGAAAAAGTGACAAAAATACAAATGCACAAAAACGTTTAAGAATAAAGGAGAAAAAAAACTCGTCATACTGCGGTGGCGAGTGAAGACGGGCAACGTCACCGACACTAAATCGGTGATATGCACAAATAATGAAAATAAAAGCAGAACGTAAAACACAATCATGAAAGATGGTACTCGTAAAGTACAGTAGCGCCGCAACCCCACCTCCACAAACTGTCACAAACTGTTTTTCTTTTTGATTTCCTTTCTGGTTGCTGCTCAATGATGCGAGCCGTCTTTACATGCGGCAATTTTATTGCTGTGCTAACGGAAAAGAAACGCTTAGTTCTCAAGAAAAAAAAAAGGAATGGGAGATCAAAAGGAGTGACTTTTCCAAGAAACAGGAATTGACGGGAAATAAAATGAAGACGAGGCAAACAAAAAGAACACGGAGCGGGAACAGAAAAACAGGGGAAAAAGGGGGAAAAACGGAGATTTCAATAACAAGAAAAACAGAAGAAGTAAACACACAAGTACAGCGGGGAAAGAAAAAATGATCAATGAAAGACCGCCAGAGAAAGAAGGAAAAAGAGCAAAAGGAAGCGCCACAAATAGACGCCACACACGATCACAGTGGCGAGGACGGATCAATACAAACGTAAAGCTGAAAAGTCTATAAAGCCACTGAGGCAGGAAAAAAGGAGAGAGAAGAAAATAAAATAAAATAAAAGAGTAAAGAAAAGAAAAGAAGACAAGAAGGTAATTGGCTGGAAGAGACAAGAAACGTTCTTGCGTTTGAGAGAATGAAAAAGTGGATTATTTTTCTGCTCTGGGTGTGCCTGTTGAAAAACAGCTTATGTGCTTTTGACGGCATGCATTTGCCCGTCCATGCATTGACTGATAATCACGGAAGCCAGATAGGACAAGTGCACACAGCACAAATTCTCTGCAAAAGGAAACAATGTCAACAACACTAGTTAGATTGATTGGAAATAATAATAAAAGGGTTCACGAATTTCGTGAACACCATCCGGAAAGAAAAAAAAAGCGAATGTCTCACACACCACGCCAATGTTGTGCGTCGGAGTAGTACATAAAAAAGCAGAAAACACAAAGGATGAACTTCGCGGCTGAGATGAGTGACACACTTGAATACGTTGGCGGGTCTCTCTCTCTTCTGGTCAACGCAACGGTTGTCTTGCAGAGCTGACCACGTAGTGAAATGCAACTACAGAACGCCACCGTTCTCGCAGACAGGATTGCGTGTCCGCGCGACGGCTCCAATTCTTCGTTCAATGAAGAAGAACACCCAAAAGAAGAAAAAAGAAAAGTTGGTTTATTATACCGCAAATACAAGAGTCACGCCGATAGAAGAAGATCAAAATGGCACAGGTGGCAAAGAGATAGTAATAATAATAATAATAATAATAATGAGCACTCTCACAATGAAAAGGTTAATGCAACCGTCAAAGCTGACGGTGTCAATGCTGACGAGGCGACTTGAGGAAGAAATGATGCGGAGAAACGTGGCTCACGCCTCCACCGCTCATAGCTTTCTTAGAAGCCGGTTAAAGTTTGTTTTTACCTCTTCAGAGGAGACAGAGGGGACAGGTACAAGGCAAAAACAAAAACCGTGGTGTTTGTGGATGGAGAGTAAGAGAAAAAGAGGGGGAAATGCGAAGGAAGATGTAACTAAGTAAAGGCTCCCTTCATGACCACTGCGATGCCGCAGTGCAGCCGCAGCAACGAGGGGTGGGCGTATTAGACGCACCACAAACTTCAAACACGGAAACAACCGAGTTGAACCTGCGCAGTATTGGTTCATTGCTCAAGTTGCGTGGGTTTCCGTGCGAAACTGGCAACAGCAAGAGGCACCTCATACTTCATTGTTTTTCTTTAAGCAGGAGATCGCTTCGAAAATGTTCTCTTATTATGGTCTTTGTTTCATTCTCCGAGAAGCAGCTGAGAAATAACTGGAAAGGAAATGCGAAAAATGTATAACGGCAAAGTGAGGCAATAGTACAAGTACAAACACGGTGTGTGTAGTTTTCCTTGTGTTGTTGATTTTGGTTAGCAACGAGTTCATGCGCATCTTCTCTTGCTAATGCGCCGAAAGCGCACTTCGAAATAATAATAATAATAAACTGGAGGACGCTGCATATGAAGGCGAGAAGTTCGGCAAACAATAAATGACAGATACCTCTAGGCTTTCTTTTCTTGGGGGAGAGGGGAGGTAAATCCCACATTGATTCGGCCAAAAGTAGACAGCTAAGCAACAAAAGCCTCGTAGTGTTCGACTTGATGATCCCAAAAGAGACGTAGCAGCCTTCTTTTTCCTCCCATTGGCACTGCCGCTGATCCCACCTCACTTGCGCTTCTTCACGGCAGCCACCTCATCACCGTGGCCGGCAGCCGTCATCATCTGCTCCAGCAGCCACTCCTCCTCCTCGAGGCCCATGCCTTCATCCTCGTTCATAAACAAATTCTCCTCGTCGTCGTCGCCGTCGCAGACGTCGCCGTCATCGCCAAATCCGCGGTGCGGCACATGTGCGCTACCACGCTTCCGCTTCGCCGCTGGATTGAGCGCGTCCGTCTCGACCAAAAACTCCTCAATGTGAACGAGCTGCTCCGGCGAGAGCTCCTTCACCATCTTCTGCGCCGCGCAGAACGCGTGCACGCCTTTATCTTTGTGCTCGTGATCATGATGCAGGTACTCATCGCTGAGCTTGTCAAAGTACAAGTCTTGAATGTCGAGCGGCATCATGTCCATCAGCATGCCCACCTCCTGCCCCTGCATCTTCTCTAGACACAGCATCCACATCTTCGAAAAGTGTTGTCGGAAGTTTTCCTCGCCGCCGTCTACCTCGCCGCCTCCCTCCTCTTCATCAGGAACGCTTCCTCGTGCGCTCGTCGTTTGCTGCGACGGAGGCAGGGAGGCGGAGTCGAGCCCGGCCGCCGGTGCAGCGCGCATGAAGGACGGAACGAAAGGTGCCGCCTCAGCGGAAAAGGTGTAAGATGGGGAGGTCAGAGACGGCGGTGGGTTTGAAGAAGACGAGCCGGCAGGAGCAGCCGTGCTGGTGGTGGCTGTTGTGGCGGAAGGCTCGTCTCTTGGTCGTGGCGCGGCAGTGGAGCTCATGGTGGTCGACGCTGTACAATGTACGGATAGATAGAAGTAAATACTGCTGAATGCGAGTGTGTGGAAAGCTTTGTTCCTTCTTGTTTTCTTTGCTTTTGTAATTACTTTAGAGAGAATTTAAACATGTAAAACAAAAGGGTACGAGAGTGAAAAGAAGCCGAACCTTGAGGCGGAGACAGATGTGTTGCTGGAGATTTGCGTCGGAACCAACGGGGTGGGCGTATGAGGCGGCCGTTCGGGGGCTAAGATACAATACTGGAAAAAAAAATGTGTTCTCAAAGAGCTTACAGCGGAAAAGGACACAGAAAGTGGTGTCAATAGCACGCCCAGGGAGAGTCCGCACGAAGAGCAACGCAACGAGCCACATTTGCTGTGGAGACGATCACCGTTTGCATTCTGTGTAAGCATACATATCAGATTCTTCTCTCTTTCTTTCGTTCTGTCATCCTCGACTACCTCATCGATCCATCGGAGTTGTAACAACTCTTCTCCTCTTTCGTTCCTGTGTGCGGTTCGCATGTGCGCTCACGCAGGAGAGCACAACACTCACCCGGCACTTTCAATGGGAGAAACACAACTACGAGCAAAATGGGTGGCGAGAGAGGGATAGGCGCAAAGGCAAGCGCACGTCCTCTCTCCCCCTCTTCCTCTCTCCCTTTCCCACAACATACTTGAACAAGAGAAAAAATGTGAGACGAACGCAAAAGGAAGGCAAAGCAAGGCATCCAGATAACTGTGACGCAACGCGCGCATAGGGAGGACTAGAATTGGAAAAAGAAAGAAATGAAATGACGCAACAAATCAACGACATCCTGAACGAGAGCTGGTCCAGAGACGTTTGAATAGAGTTTCCGCAACTGGTTGCGCTCTTCGAGGCGAGATTTACAAAAAAAAAGGAGGGGAAGAGGAAGCGCTCTTCACGTACAGCGCCAGCACATCCATGCGCATTGGCATACACTAACAGGAGAAGGGGAAAACAAGAGCGAAAGAAAGAAACGCAAGGAAGACAGGTGAATATAAATAGATGAGCAAAATGAGCGCAAAAGAAAAAAAAAGAAGGATAGACGGTTTCGTGGACCAGCAAGCACACGTAAGCAACGGTTTAACTACAAAAAATAAGATAAAAAGCTGTGTGACAATAATAGATAACCTCTTTTCACCGCAAAAGGAGACGCAAAAACAAACCAACAAATGGCCCACACACACACACATGTGAAGCACGAAGGATCGCAACTGAGAAAGAGGAGCTCATGGGGCCGGGGCCACACAGCAGCGCAACTCGTGTTTCGTCCACAAACATCGTGAAAGAAGGCAACTGTCACCAAGACGCGTGAGAGAGATTCCACGTACGTTACATAGAAACTAATTATTATTTGTTCGTTTTGAGTTTTCCTTCATATTTGATCGGAAGCGATCAACTCTACAACGCGACTGCCTTGGGTTGGTGACGCGATTGGGGGGTTGTGCGATGCGCCCCATCATAGCGGCGTGTGCGGACCTCTCTCATCGGTGATCCAGTAGAGCGTTTATCCGCGTCTCATCCCATACACCACGAACGACGTTCACGCAGCCGTAAGTCATTGTGAGGATAAGACCTGTCGGCGTGCTGAAGAGCAGTCCCACTCCGGTCCAGGCCTGCGCAAGATGACCGCCGCCACTCACGACGCCACCGACGAAGCCCAGCAGATAAAGTGCGAGCAACTTAGCCGCCGTCGCGACCACGTGGCGGGCACACAACACAGCCACGTCGAAGGTACTTCTGCTGTTCCGCGGCGAAGCACGTTGAGATGCACCATCGTCGCCCACATTGGGATGACTCGCCGGCCGCATCGTCGAACTCGCATATCGCCCATCATTGGGGACGGAGTCTGGGAAGTGGTAAATAGTAATTTCGTCCGTCTCGTCCTCGTGAGCCGCACTCGCTGGTGCTGCCGTGTCCGCCGCCGCCGCCGTGCGATCGGCTGATCCGCGTGTGTTCAACGCCTGTGCCACTAACGACACATCCGTCACCGGACTAGGTCGAAGCTGCTCCACAGCTCGGCGAATACGGAGGTAGTACAAGTTGTTCGTGCGGCACGAGAGGTCCAGCACCGCAGCAAACACAACTTCCCACACCGTTGCCAGCACGCAGAACCACACCAGCGACAGCTGCCCGTGCAGGGCGATGGGAACGATGACAACGAGCGGCAGACACAGGGCACGCATGAAGAGTGAAATGCGGGCTGCGTCGCCTAACGCGTTGCGTCGGTGAATGGGACTGGCGAGGCTCACTGCCGCCACGTGACCGTTGCCGTGCTCCCCCTCTGAGGTAGCGGACATGGCAGAGGTAGCGGAGATGCAAGGGTGCATGGACGTGATGCTGTCCGCGAAGCTAGTCGTGCCGAAGAGCGGAGTTGGAGTAGCGCCATAGATGCTGTGCGCCATGCACCTCTTACCAGGCGGCATCGATGGCGGGGCGGCCACGCCGCTGCAGCGTGGCGCTGCGCGCTTCCCCGATGCAGCACCTGTAGTGGTGGTGGTAGTGGTGGGAGTGTTGATGACCGTCGTCGGTGAGGACGATGCCGCAGAGGCGATAGGGTTGGCGGCCCGTGGTGCCGGGCTATCCTCACGCGTCTCCGGTGACGCGAGTGCAGCAATCGCCGCCTTCTCCCGCGTGGCCGGGGATGATAAGTGCCGGGCCGAGTCGGCCTGCGACTTCACCCTTGAATTTGTGCTTGGGTCGGCGGTGAGGCCACAGCAGCTGCTCACGCTGCCCAGAAAGACATCCGCCTTCGTTCCGTCGTCCCATTTTAGGTGGTCGTCGCTCTCTGTCGCGTACGGAGCGGCGATGTTTGGCGGCTGCGCAGGGCGGGTATCACGCTGAAGGCTTTTCTCATCCTTCCCCCCTCCCCCTTGGTTGTCGCTGTCCCTTTCCTTCGCTCCACCACTACTTGGGATGCCAGCTGGGAAGCTGCTGCTTCTGCCACTCTGCCCGCGACGGTGATTTGTGTCATCATTCATCGCTGTCACGACTGGGATGCTCGAAGACTGCGCGGGTGTTCCGCTGGGCAAACGGATCCTTTCACAGTCCTCGCCAGCTTTTGGGTAATGCCGAGAAGGCGTGTGTGCGTCGACGCCGTCGTTGCTGCCGCTGCTGGAGGTTGCGTTGAGTCGACTGCGGCCAGCATACAAATGCGGGTGTGTCAGAACAGGCACGTGGACCTGCGTTGGGGGCAGTGCTGCTGCTTGAACAGTCGTCGCCTCCACGATTGCGTTCGGCCTCACGCGAGGTTGGAAGCGTCGCGCGGGCAGTCGCGATGCCCACGACCGCATGCGGCTCCCTGCGAAGCTGGCTGGCTGTGCTGGCGCCTCCCCTTCGTCATCGTCTTCGTCAAGGGCCTCGCCTTCGTCGTCGTCGTTCTCAAGGTCGTCCTCATCAACACCACCATCGTCCGCTCCGTTTGCTGAACTGTTGCTGGTACTCGTTTTCTTGTTGGCTGCTGCCGCCGCCGCCTCCCGCTCCATCTCCAGTGCGTGCAAGATGGGATCTGGCGGTTCACCGTCGATGCCGTCTACAAACCAGCTCACACCAACCGACTCATCAAGGTGGTAGACGTGATTGCCGACGCCGTAGCGGCGCATAATGATAAACGACAGAAAGTCCGCCTCATACACGACGCGCGCGGGGTAGAAGTGAGAGAGCACCGCGCTGATGGCGTCGCCGTGCGTGACGAGAATTGTATCAGGTGGCGTGCAATCCTCGAGACTACTCAGCACCGCCGGATCTGGAGAGGCAGGCGTGGTCACCGTGTGCCAACGCCTATCGGCTTGACCACCGCCGCCGTTGAAGCGGCGTGTCACGGCAGGCGGACAGACAAGACTCGACGACGTCTGCGACTCCGTCCGCGCGCTGGAAAACGGGTTCGGGTCTGCGCCGCCTGCGAGCGGCCCGCCGTATTCGTCACCGTTACGCAGAAAATTGGCCACATAACGCTCCGTCGCCGTCTCGAGCGACTCGCCCCACATCGGCAGCCCGCCCACCGCACGCGACGTCTGTAGGCCCTGCAGCTGCGGCGCCCGACTCGTCTTAATCCGACTGGGGCCAAACACCTCACACAGCGTGTTGTCCACCACCATCGCGTGATCGGCGCCGACGCCGTGGTGCTGCAGCGACTCCGCCGTCTGCACGGTGCGGAGGAAGGGCGAGACAACGAGCACCGCCGCACGTGCCCGCTCCTTCCCCAGGTAATGCCTGAGGCGGGCGGCCGTGTTCTTAATTTCCGCCACGCCCTCTGCGGTGAGCGGAGGGTCCGACTCCGGCGGTGCATCGTGGCGGTTGTCTCGGCGCTCTCCGTGTCGCAGCACAATGACGCGCTGCGAAGGGTACGGGTACGCCGAGCTAGACTGAGCCGGCATGCCTATCGTGTCTTCTTTTCTGTTTTTTTCTACTTTAAAGGAAAGGGATCTAGCTTGTACAGGAAATGTCCGTATGGCTAGCACACACGCAAAGATAAAGGAAAACCCGGGGGAGAGACAAACGTGGAAATCGACACTAGGTTGGTACGACGCGGTTCACTTCTTCGGCTTGTGTGTGTCTGTGTGTGATCGCTGGCGCAAAGGTGGCGAGTGTCCCTGCAATGAGAGAAGGGGAAAGTGAATAATGTCCGAAAGAAGAGCGGCCTGGACGCGACTCTGCAGAAGAACAACAAAACAAAATACCCAACCAACTACACCTCTGAAGTCACCCGGTTTCGGTGTAATCCAGTGGGCAGCTAGTTGACACGGCAAATCACACACGCACACGCAAAACAAGTCTCCTCCTTCTCTCCCGCTTGTTGGGGCACTGTAACCCCTACTAGCTGTTTATTGAAAGGGTGTTTTCTTTATTTACACACACAAGAACAAGAAGAGACGCGCGCAAATGGCGCTTCAATTAGACGGACGAGAAACAGTCAAAGGGAAGGGGCACCACGTGCAAAAAAGAAACTAGTCAAGTTGTTCCACTTACTGAGTCCCAGAAAAGGGGTCCGTTAACCGTTTAACGTCAAAACGAAAAGGTAGAGGAGGTAGAGGACAGTACACTAGGGAAAATGAAGAAGTTAGAGCGAAGCAGCGTCAGGCGCCCATCCGACTATAGGAAGAGAAAGGTAAACTTTTCAACGCCGATGGCGCCATTGCTAATACGACGTAGCGGTACTACTTTCTGCAAGTTTGTTTCCGCTGGCTTCTTTTTTCTTAGTGTGGGTTGCTTACTGTTGCACGAAGCAGAACGTTGAGCTTCACCGAGTGCACGTCGTTGCGACCGCGGCCGTCCGTAGATCAGCCTTTTTCCTCCGGCACCAAAAGGTAGTGCACCACCCCCATTTTTTTTTGGATCTGTGGAAGTGAGCGACAACTTGAAGACGAGAAACAGCAACTTATGTTGCTCCGTTACACACAAAAAAACAAATACCAGGCGAAGAAGAAAAAAAAAATGGTCTCTTCCATTTTGAAAGCTGAGCACCAGAAGAAAAAAAAATTGCATGTATTCACACTCCGAGAAGAGATATTCAGATTCAAAATGCACACGGTGCAGAGCGCAAAAATTACATCCACCATTCTAACATGCGACTTTGCCAACCAAAAACAACAACAAAAAAAGAAGGAGGTACCGTGCAACGACGTTCGCCGCTGCGGTTCCTCATCATGGTGAGGCAAGCACGCCTACAGAATGCAAAAGGACGAACAACACTTTCTTTCACAACCCTCACAGATATTAAATATTGAGTGCGACAGAGAACACCAGATGATTAGATTTAAAACAAAAACCAAATCCATTTCGGTAAGGCCACACAACAGTAGCCTCATAGCCACTACACAGTAAGAAACAAACAGGAGAAAAAAAAAGGGCCTCACACACTCACGGAGAACAAAAGCCTTTCTCCGGGGCCCATACAACCAAAACGTACAAAAGAAAAGCGAGAGAACCAGTCAACGGTTTGACTCTTCGAGAGCGCCGTCAAGGGCAAGAGAAGCGCTGACGCGTTCGTAAGCCGTCCGTTTCCATCGCTCTCTTTCTCGCTTAATAGGGAGGTGGTGGCGGCGGCGGCGGTGGCGGAGGCGGCGGAGGCAGGCCTTCCTCCATCTCATCCTCCCCCGGCAGGTACGGCGGAGGCAGCGCGTAGGCCGGCAGGTTCTGTGCCCCGCCCATGTGCAGCAGCTGCGTCGAGCGCGGCGCGGGGCGGTAGTCGCCGAGTGGGCTTACCACATTCCCGTACGCCGGCGGCGGTGGCGGCAGCGAGGCGGAGTGCGGTGGAAGCATACACGCCGCCGCGACGATGGAGCCGTCGTTGGGAGACACCGGCAGTCCGTTCAGGCCGTAAAGCACATCCACCGTCGGCGCAGGCGTGGGGTGGTACTCCGGCGAGGTCGCACTGAGCTGGAAGTGCGGCACAAACTCCTTCGCCGAGGCGTTCATGTGTGACGCGCCGTGCGACGACCCGGCTGACCCGATGCTCTCGTTCGTGTCGTGCTCAGTGTTTGCAGGGGCCGCACGTGCGGGAGGGCGATGGGGGTGGAAGACAAGGTGGAGAGGGAGGGACCGATGGTTCCTCCCGCGGCTTCCGCTGCGGCCATCGTCGCTGCTGCCGCCGCCTGGGCACGGGCGGCGATGGCACCGGCGATGGCCGCTGACGCGTTGACTGGGCGGGTGAGGGTCGGGGAAGGGGAAGAGTGGTGAGGGGGGAGAGCGGTGGTGATCCCAGTTGTTGCGGCGGTGGCCGTCGCGGGGAGAGCCGCGGACGACAGGACGCTGACGGACGCAGCCGTTGCAGTAGCACCCGTTGCGGGTGCAGACGTAGCGGAGGTAACGCGCGGGTGCGGCGGCGCCTTGTTCGCCTCTCCGGGCTTCTCCAAAGCGCCTCCATGAGCACCTGCACCGCTATGCTTCGCATGCGCCGCGTTGTCCGTGGCAACACGCGTCGACGGGCTGGAGCTGAGAGGCGCAGAGGCCACACACCCCTTAACGGCGTTGGGGTTGTTGTTGGCTACGGAAAGCTTCGGCGAGCTGCCTGCTGGTGCTGCTCGCTCCAACTTCACCTCGTGACCGCGACGAGAGGCCGAGATGTACGGCGGTGACACTTGCACCCGAAGCGTGCACCCACGTGTGTTCTTCCCATCCACGTCCAGTGCCTTGCGGGTCGCCTCGAGGCTCGCAAAGGTGAGGAAGGCCCGGCGGCGGTGCGACGGGGAGTCGTCCTCGACAAACTCCGAGGTCACAATCGCCAGCGGCTCGAAGAAGGCGAGGATGTCGGGCAGCGTCGCACCGTCGTAGAGGTTGAACACCACGACCGTGTTGAGCGTGCAGGGCAGGTGGGACCAGTGCTTCTCCACCTCGGCCCAGTGCTGATCCCGCAGCTTGCGCAGCGCCGAATCCTCGAGTGAGGGCACCGACACCAGCGGAGACACAGGGCGTAGAATAAACGGAAGCAGGTCGCCCTCGTCGTCGGAGTCCTCGTCCTCGTACTTCTCAAGGAGGTCGCACGCGTCCTGCGACGACGGCATCACAATCACGCCCCCTTCTTGACGGCGCTGCTCATCCGAAAAGCGGAGGTCGAACGACTCCCAACCGCTAAACTCCTGGAACTCTCGCAATGCCTCCTTGGCGTCCCAATCCTTGTGGAAGCGAATGCCGACCAGATGACTGTGTGTGGCGAGGCTTAAGCCGTAATCTAGCATTAAGTAGAAGCCCAGGCCGTGCACGTCGTCAAGCGAGCTGTCGGATGCGAACTCCGAGTAGTCGATAAAGCTCGCCTCAAACTCGTTCGTGTAGCTGCTGTTGGTCGACGCCGCAACGCTGTCCTCCGACCCCGCCGCACCCCCGGTCGGCGAAGAAGACGACGAGGGGGACGCGAGGGGCTGCCACCTCTTCGCTTTGGCCGCTGGTTCCACCTGCAGACACTCCAGTATCTCCTTCACATGGAGGGCTCCGGGGAGATAGTCAGCGTAGCGCAGCAGTGGCATCACCGCCGTCCCGCTCAGCACCGACTCGGACTCGTCATGCGCGCAATCGAGGCCGAAGCGCGTGGCGCAGAGCGTCAGCAGCTTGCGAAAGGTCGTTGCAAAAACGGGGAAGTGCAGACGGAAAGGGCGACGGGTGCCGACTTCATTTACACACAGCACAACGTCATATTCGATACCAAGCAGGAAGCGTAGGGAAGAGGGCACACTCAAGGCCTTCAGCTCGAGGGAGTCGAGGCCGCATTGGTTTAAATCCTGAGTTGTCTTCATTTCACTCCTTCAATGTGTCGTTGATGAATTAGTTTTTAAGTTATTTCGGTAGCTTTTAGTTCAAGAGCAAAAGAAAAGATTTGAAAAAGATGTGATAAAAGTGCGAATAAGAGTTCAATGAGTCAAAAAGTGGTGGTCTCTTTTGTTGTTGTTGAATTTTCTTTCTTTTTCTTTTTTTGATTAAGTCGAACGTGCGTCAGCTTCCCTGTGAAGAGTAAATATTACAATGGAAATAATATTGGAGAACAACTGTCGCCCCTGTTCGGTCTAGACCTGTTTGCGTGCGTTTTGAAGCCGCAGTTGTGTTCCTTTTCACCTTTTTTTTGTTGTTTGCTCCTCTTTTCTTCCACAGATCGTGCTGTTGTCTAGAAGACGACCGAGAAGACGAAAGCCAAAATGTGCGTAAGGAAACAGATTGTAAGAGAAAAGTGAATACGATGTTTGCGTGAGAATTAAGAAGAAAAATAAACCACGTACTTAATCTTCTCTTTATATATATCGTGTAGTGTTTCTTGCGCTATTGCTGATAAAAAAGCAAATCACAGTCGTTTGGCATTTACGTGTATATATATATATATATTACTGAGTTTGGGTTTTTGTTTCTGATGTGCGCACAACTGCCGCAGGATACGTGTATCGAAGATCTTCACCACCACCTCCACAGTGACTCCAAGGAATAGAGAAAGAAAGGAGGTGGATTTGAACCGATCTGGTGCAATCAGCAATAGATCCACGTTTAAGTGTGAGGTCCGCGTACACCCATGCGAGAAGGGCACGAGCAGCAAACTCACTTTTAGCAAAGTGACGGTATAGAGACAAAAAAAAAGGAGCGTGTGCTTCAACTGTGTTGATTGATCTCTTTTCTCTTAATTTTTAGTGTTGATGTGTGCGCACACGGTCGCTGAAGGAGAAGACGTGACGCGGCGCTGATGATGGGAAAGAGAAGGAAGAGTGAAACGGAAAGCGTATTTTTTAAAAAGAGAGCACAAAGAAGGTGAAGCTGCTCCATTACGTTGTCGTCGTTGCAAAGGTATGACGAAAGCGATTTAAGCCGAAGATATTTGAAAAGAAGAAGAGCGTACAAATAACGGCGTTGTTGAGAAATTGGGAAAAGGCATCAAAAGGAAGTGTGAGAGAGGGAGGAGGGGGAGAAAGAAACAAAAACAACAGAGATGAGAAGAGTTGTGTGCTGAGAGTACTGATCCCGTATTGGCCGTTGCTCTTAAAATGATGCTGCACCGTTGTAGCAATTACCAACCGGTTTTCGCCTTCATTTTTCGTGTGCAAAAGCATCTCAACACCGTCATCTCGTCACTATTTTTGCACGTCGGAGAAGACGAGAGAGAGAGCAAAAACAAAAGAGGAACGGCGCTAGCAGCTCCCACTCCCCCCAACTCAAGTACCACCGAGAGAGTGTGTGGTGGTGCAAAATAAGTCGATCAACGCGGGCTTGTATGTGCGTCGAAGTCAACACCGTCCCGGGTACTTTCTTCTGTTGCTAGGGCATGACAGTTCAACATCGCTATAATTGTCGTTATGATTATGATTATGATTTTGTTTTTGATTTGTGCACTCTAAGGCAGCAACTCTACCATTTATACAGAGGGAAGGGCCGTTGTGCGAGAAAAAAAAAACGACGAGCCATCGAAGACGAAGTGGAATCAGAAATAATAAATGATAAAAATGTTCAAGAAAACACATCATCAATGTAGTCTAAGCTGTCACCGAACCAATACAAAAAAGGAGAGAGAAGATGGAAGGAAATATAAAGGACGAAAGAAGAAGTGACGTCCTCGAATCGATAGAAATTCACACAACTTCCACAACGCAGCGACCATTTAGCAAATGAACCCCGAAGGTCTGGGGATTGAGAACAGTGAGAGTACAGTTCATACAAACCAAATATCAAACAAACGAATGCCCCATGTATACAAACACGCACACACACACAAGTCAGCAAATACGCAAAGCAACGAGGATAAAACCAACAGAACACCTGTCTCCTTCACAATGGAAAACGACCTTCACAGCAGGGGACAGGAGAGCAAAGAAAAGTATCGCGCAACTTTGTTGAGCTCGACGTGGGGGAAAACGGTCCCCGGCATTGAAACGGCGAGCCCGCTCTAAAGATAGCAGAATCACAACAGAGAGTGGCCAGGGCAAAAAAAAAAACGCCATCAACAACAAAAAAAAAGAAGCGCTACCCCCTGCGCTAAGAATAGGCACCATCGATGAAGTCGCCTATTGCGCTTCTGCGGCCATGCGGTCATACTCGGCACGCGCAAACCGATCCCAATCCGTCTTCTCCGGCCGCATGCGCATCTGGTGCTCCCCAAAGGGGTCGCGGTGCTCAAACAGCATAAACTTCGACGCGTTGAAGATCATATTAAAGAAGTTGGCCGGCGACGGACAGGAGCGCAGGTCACCCAAGGTCACGCCACACTTTCGCGTTTTGACTCGGTCGAAGCCAATCATGTCTAACATCTGGCACATCGTGTCCTCGTAGGAGATGTCGCCATCAGGCGAGTCGGAGAACTCCAAGAAACGCTGCTGATTCTCCTCAAAATACGTCATCATCTCGTAGCCGCTCAGCAAGCCGTCTTCGTCGACGTCCAACACCTTAAACCAATAGAGCACCGCGGGCTCGGAGTTTTTGTCTTCCTCGGATAAGCAGAAGTACACAAAGTCCTCAAAGTCGAGCTTGCCCGGCACGCCGGAGGACAAGGGTCGTCCGTAACCCTCCACCACGCGCTTGATTACGCCGGTCACGACGGAGCCCTGGCCGTAGTTGCAGAGGTCCTCGTAGCCGACCAGGAGATCGCGATCGGTGTCCAGCTCCCAGAACTTGCAGTAGAGGACGTAGAAATGCTCGTACGAGAAGTAGTCTAGCACAAGGTTCACATCCTTCGCGTCCAGCTCCATCATCCTCTCCGGCAGGTCGCTGCGATCGAAGTCGCGCCAGTAAATGCGGCCGCACTGCTGACGCTCTAAGGTGTACATAATCCGCACCGCCACCGTGTGCCAGTAATACTCCTGGAACTCCGGCTGCTGCAGAAACTGTAGGCCGGGGTGGGCTGCGACGAGGTACTTGCCCATCGACTCCAAGTCAGACAGCGTAATAAACTCCTTCTTGGGGTGGGTGCAAATCAACTCGTACAGACGGCGACTGACAGAGAGAGGGGCGTAGACGTCCTTGTAGACGGTGCGGATCTGCGCAGCCGTGAGGCTGTCCACGACCGCGGCGTCCAGTCCGCTACGGGTGGCGATGTCTTTGAAGAGGGCCTCCTTGTACCAAATTGGCACCTTGAACACCTTGGAGCTAATATCGCCGAACACCCACACCGTCTTCTTGACGGGGTCGTTCTTCTCCAGCAGTCGGTTCAGCTCCTGCACCTCCTCGGTGTCCGCCTCCACCGCTAGTCCACGTGATTCCTTCTTCGAGTAGAAGCATGGGATGTCGTTGAGGGAGGCCTGTTTGACGTTGCTGGGCGGCGTCGTGGCGAAGGCGCCGGAGGTGTGCACAAACCGCGTCGAGGACTCCCGCATCGTCGCGCTCAGACTCTGCGTCATGTCCAGCGGCGGCGGTGCGAGGTCGCCCGAGACCATCGCCGCGTTCAGCGTCGTGTCTAGGCGCGGGCTGCCGAGGGAATGCACGGCGTGCGGGGAGGTGGTGCCGGAGGCGACGTGCGGCAGCGGGGCGCTCGGGTCCACCACCGGCTTCGGCTGCGGCGACCCAGGCGCGATGACGGGCGAGCCGGCCCGGTGCGGGTAGTCGAGTTCGTCCACCACGCCGGGGAGCCGCCCCGCGGAACCGGGAGAGGTCGAGGACGCGTTCGGGCTGCTGCCGTCCTCGGTGAACTTTGTTGACGACGGCACCGACGGCTGTGGCGAGTGGGCGCGTTCGAGGTCGGGGTCGAGGGAGAGGGCGGCGCTCGTGGAGAGCCCGGCGGCAGGGTCCTTGTGCTGGGCGCCATTGGTGGTGGTCGGGCTGCCATTGTTCGCGCTGCTGCCGCTGCTGCCCACTTCGACCACCTTCGTCCGCTTGTCGTTGGCTGTTCCGGCTTTAGCCACACCGTTGACGATGGCGGCGTCGACGTTCGCCTTCGCGGCGGAGAGGGCGATGATGGAGTTCATGGCCTCGCGGATGCGCTCCACGTTGGCCTCCTCGGAGAGCCATGTCGCGTACAGGTTCGCGCACAGCGTCTTCGCCGCCTGCGTGCCGAAGGTGTTTTTCACACTCATTATGCTGCTTGAGTTGGCGGAGAGGGATTGAGGAGGAAAGAGAAGAAGTGGGCGGAAATAGCACTCCTTATCCGGTAAAGAGCCGCCCTTGTCGTTTCCCGTCCTACCGCACGGCGAGCGAGAGATTATGCCGGTGCCTTTGAGAAGAAGCAGGCCTCCGCACTGAAGACGGAGGAAGAGAAATAGGGAAAGGCCGGCGGAGCGCGAAACCAGTGTATTTCTTTGCTGTCCGTTGCCTTCGTACGTTGAACTTACCAGCCTATGGTGTGGTAAAGGGTACACCCACACAGGAAAAAACTTACCTATCGTTTCTCTGAGGTAATTAATCGTGCTGTCGGCCTCGTTGCTTCCAAGCAGCCACAAATTGATGGTACCGTCGATGCAAGCAATAATTCCTTTCCTCTTGCTCTGTGGAAGGGGTGTCAACCAAACTTCAACAAGTGCGTGAGGAGGCCTTGCGTCTGCACGGCAACGCGTAGGAGCCAAATGAGAATGAGTAGTAGTACTAACCAGAATACATAAAAAAAAACAAATAGTAATAACAGCAGATGAAGAGGATTTTTCGAACCAGCTTATGTTCTTGTTCTTGGTTTGGGGTGGTGGGGGTGGTGGTTGGTCGTCGTTTGTTGCTGTATTTATTGCAGTGTGGAATTGCTGGGCGCGGGTGGGTGCAAAAGAAGGGCGACTCTTGACGGAATGGAACCCGAGTCCCGTTGAAGAACGCTTCTTCAATCTCCTCTTCTCCCAAATAATTGTGACGTCCCGCAGTCAACGACGCCTTTCCAAAGGATTCAAAAAAAAAAACGGACGGGTTCTGCTGCGATTCTGCACTTTTCTTTTGGTATGTAAAGAAAAACGGCAAAGGGAAAAAAAAAGCCGTCACGACTTCTATCCACGACGCGCACAAATACAGCCACGCAGGAGGAGGTCGCTGGGGCTTGGCGAAACAAGCCCACGCACCAGGGTTCAAGATAAAGGGGGATACTCTTCGCACCAGGCAGGCGGAGGATGGACACAAGTAGAGGCAGGGGAGCAGACAGGGTAAAAGAAGCACCGCGCAGCACGAGAATGAGACGGGTCTACACCAGGAAAGACAACGGCTGACAAAGACGGAGCACGCCGTCGTCAACACTGGATCAAGCCGGTGAGCAGACGTGACGGGAAACGCTTTCTCATTGCTTTATTGCCGCAAAGCACCGTCGTGCATTTATTTGTTTTTTACTTCTTTCTGAGTTTTTAGCCGTTCAACGCAGAGCATCGTCAACAGCAAGAACAAGATACAAACAAAAGATTGGGACATCTTTGCCTTTTCGTGCAAACCACGGAGCATTACTGATCAGTGGTAACGGTAGTTTACATCGGAAATCATAGAGACAGCTGGAATTATATCCTCCTAAATGCGCTGCGAACAGGCCGTTGCTCATACCCCAGTAGCAACCGGCGCCGCTCCATCCATCGCCGCAGCGGCAGCAGCCTCAGCCTCAGCGTGACGCTGCTTTTCCTTCTCCGCCAGCAGCGCCGCCTTCTGTGCAGCTGCCGTTGCGGCCAGCTTTGCTAGCAGCGCCATCTTCTCCGTGTTGTCGCCGGAGAACTCGCTCACCACGTCGCCGTAGGCGTAACAGCGCACAAATGGTAGCGAAGACACGGCCAGCGCTTCACACACTTCCTTCGTCGCCTGCAGCGCGTAGACGACGACGAAGTGCATCTCTGCTAGGAGTTGAGGGCGGCTGCTGTTGAGCTGCTCCAGTGCCGCAATCATCGCGTCTGTGGTGGACGGTGTCAGTGGACTGACGACCACCACCAGGGCTGCACCAGCATGAGTAAGGACTTCTCGCTCGAGTTCCTTTACGGTGTTCACGCGCAAAATCACCGGCGGTGGTGGGGGAGGCAAGGCACTTCTCTTGGAGCCTTTACTCTTCGCCGAGAGCGATCTTCCTCGAGGCATGATTCTCCGTGCGTGAAACGCTTTCTAACTCCTTCTGCTTTCACTTTTAATGAATCGGTGGCTTGAGAAGCAAACAACGAAGAGAAAAAAATCAGAGATGGAGAAGAGCTGATTTGTAGAAAAGAGAGAGGATCGTTGCCACACACAGCTTGGAGAAACAAAAGGAGAGTCGCAATCATTTTTGGCATTTTGAAGGTCGTCAGCACATTAGCGTTGGATCGCGGTGTGTCCAGCAAAGTAGCTCTCGACAGAAAGATTACCTGTTCCGTCGTTTTCGCTCTTTTTCCTTCGTTGACCCGCGCAGAGCTGTCCGCGCCACGCACAACGGAAGTGCCGGTGAACCAATCGGCGTGCAAGCCCTGAAAACGTAATCGTTTGTTCTCTCGCACACGAGGAGTAGGTGTGAACTACATAGCCGCCAGACGCAGAGCTCGTTGCATACGTTTTTCTTGCTAAATTACTTTTCGGCCGTTTGCCAATTATTGATGTTTCCCATTTTCTTTTATTTTTTTGACGGCTTCCGTTCTTCATCTCACTCTCTCCCTCTTCCATGCCCTGCGCACCTTCTATTATTTCCGCTTTTGGTCGCACATCGACAGTCCTTTTTATTATTATTCTTCTCCGACTCGTACCCTGACCAGAAAAAAATAATGCCTGAGCGTTTTTCTGCTGCGTTACCGTCACATTAAACCTTAGAAAGGCAGACCCGCACCCACAACAAAGACGGACTACGTCGTGATGTTGTCGGCAAAAGTTTTCTTTCATCTCATAAGCTACGCTCATTGCTCGTCGTCTTCACTCATTTTTTTTTCCCGTTGCCTTTGGTTAGTTAGACAGGCCACCCTTACGGTCAAAGCCTTCTTTTAATAATTCTGCAAAGCAGACCATCGCAATTCGCAGAGCGCTTAGACGGGTACACAAGGAACAATCAAACAAAAAAGAGACCACGCGTCGAAGCCGCGCAAGGATGGTAAAGATAAACAACAAAACGGAAGATTATAGATGAAGAGACCAAGTTAAATAGGAAGTCAATGATACCAGAGGAGAAACCCTTCAAAGAAACAGGATTTGAAAACAGTAATAATAAATAAATAAAAGAGAAAAATGATAATAATAACAAGTCCAATCGTGAGTGAAAAAGGTGAAGAGGAGCTCCATCACGACTCCCGCATTCGTGTCTCCCTCCCCCTCTCGTTCTCCTTGTTCCGATTAGCGCTTCTCGAGCGGGAAGCTTTCTCCTGCTTCTGTTCTTCCCGGTCGCACCCCCTGCGCCTGACGCTGCTTCACTTCGCGAGGGCATCCAGGGCAACCTTGAGGGCCGCGACGAGGTCATTACCGTCCTCGATACCGCAGCTGATGCGCACGAAGCCGTCGGTGATGCCGACCTTCATGCGGTCTTCGCTGGTCATGTTCGCGTGCGTCATGACGGAGGGGCAGGTGATGATGCTCTCCGCGGCGCCGAGGTTCTCGCACAGGGACCACGGGCGGGGCACCGTGTCCATCAGACGGCGGCCAGCCTCCGTGCCGCCCTTGACCTCGAACCACAGCATGCCGCCGTGCAGGTTGTTGCGGTGCTGGCGGTCCGCGAGCTCCTTCTGCGGGTGGGACTTGAGGCCGGGGTAGACGACGCGGTCCACCGCCGGGTGCGTCTCGAGGAACTCGGCGACCTGCTGGGCGTTGTGGCTCTGCTTCGCCACACGCAGTGACATCGTCTTGACGGTCTGCAGCTGCAGGAAGGCCACCTGCGGGCTCATAGAGTTGCCGAGGATGTTCTGAGTCAGGCGCAGCCGGTCGTCCAGCTCCTTGCTCTTTGTAACGAGGGCGCCGCCGACGGTCATGTCGTGACCGTCGATGTACTTGGTCGTGCTGATGAGCGTGATGTCGGCACCGAGGTCGAGGGGGCGCATGATGAGGGCCGTGGCGAAGGTGTTGTCGCACATGTGCACGAGGCCCTTCGCCTTGCAGATGGCCGACACGGCGGGGATGTCGATGAGGGTCAGGGTGGGGTTGGCGGGCGTCTCGCTGATGACGAGCTTCGTGTTGGGCTTGATGGCCGCCTCGACGTTCTTGGGGTCGCGCATGTCGACGAAGGAGAACTCCATGCCGAGACGGCTGAAGAAGACGCGGCAGGCGCGGTTCGTGCCGCCGTAGCTGCAGTCCGTCACAATGGCGTGGTCGCCAGCGCTCATGACGGTGGAGATGGCCGTCGTCGTGGCTGCCATGCCGGTCGCGAAGGCAGTGCAGTAGTCGCCGTTCTCCAGCGAGCACAGCTTCTGCTCCAGTGCGGTGACGGTCGGGTTGGCAGAGCGGGTGTAGGAGTAGCCCTTGGCCTGGTACTTCTCAATGGACTCCTGCACAAAGGTCGTCGCCTGGTAGATGGGGGTCAGGATGGAGCCCGTGACGGGGTCGGGACGCACGCCGCCGTGCACCTGCAGGGTGTCGAAGCCCTGCGCCTGCGGCAGCCACGAGCCGGAGCCGGCCTTAAAGTCAGAGACCAAGTGCTGATGGGCGGACATGATGGGGATGACTTTGTAACTGTTTCGTTAGAAGTATGAGACAGAAAAGTGAGAGAAGAGGGACGTGGAGAGAAAAAAAAAACACGTTAGTAAAGGTAGAATTGATAAGGTGCTGGCTTTTAAAGAGCTTGCGGTGAGGGCATCATCGTCGTATCACGCAGAAGAAGCGGGAGAAGAGGGAAGAAGGAGGAAGAGAGAGAACGCAAAAAGGATGGGAAAGAACAGTTCATTCTGAAAAAAAAAAGGAGTGGAGGGAGTCGATGTGAAAGAGAGCGGTGTCTGAATCGACGCCGCAACGCAGAGCAAATAAGACACATAGATGGACATTAGGAAAAGCTAAAGCAACAGAGCAGCAGCGGAGGTAAAGGTTTGTTGGTGGCAACGCTTCGTTAGGGGACATGAGTGTGTTTTTTAATGCTTTCTTGTTTGCGAGCACCATGAAAGATGCATCTCAAAAAAGGTCCTTTTAAACCCGAGCCTTCACCCCGCTTCCCAGGAATGGCAGGTGAAGGCAGGAGAGAGGGAGAAAAGAAGCGAGTGGCAAACGATCAAATGCGTAAACGAAAACTCCCAACGCCTGTGCCGAGACTTTAAACCGTGTTCTAGAGCCTCAATCTATCCTTTTTCTGTCAAGCAAAACAGCAGTCAGACAACACCAAAGTAGCCTGTCACACTTTTTGAATGTGCAGACACCACCGCGGATTTCAATGTAACACTTCAATAACGTCAGGGTCGGATTCAGATTTTACCCTACGAAGTTTGTAGATCATCATTCTTATCTGTTCTTCCCTCTACTCTTTTCAGCGTCCAAGAAAGTGGCCGTTTCACCAAGAGACCTTTGCATGGCGAGCAGCTACCGAGAACGAGACACAGAACCGAAAACGAGAGTACAACCGTCACCTCCGTTACCTCTCAGGGCAATGAGAACCGCAGTCAGACAACACCAAAGTAGCCTGTCACACTTTTTGAATGTGCAGACACCACCGTGGATTTCAATGGAACACTTCAATAACGTCAGGGTCGGAGTCAGATTTTACCCTACGAAGTTTGTAGATCATCATATGAATGTTACACATTCGCAACGGGCTTCAGCAGCAGCACGCAATTTCTAACGCCTGAAAAGAAGCCACTTTTCAAATAAGAAACGCCACTCGGATTATCTTCGGCAACGCACTTCAAGAAACTGTTCCGGGACGTCATATGTAAGTAGTGAGAGCGCCGATCATACCAATACTTCCGGAGTTGAGCGGTAAGAGGGAGGAGTCAAAAAGGAAGAAGAGTTGGAATAGTTACGGATGATGCAAAAGCCAGAAAAAAAAGATGCAAATAAAAGACCTATCTTTGAAGAGTGCCACCTCAACACTGCACAAAGCGACAGAAGGGCACGCGAGTACAACAGATGTTTGCCACAGTTGTGAAAGCTTTCGTGACCTTTGGGTTTCATACGTTTTTGGTGGTTATTTGTTTTGTTCTGGAGGGGGGGGGGGAGGGAGTCTAATCGTCTACTCGCAATGAATTGTTCGTCTCGACAGCAGTCACCTTCTCTTTAAACGCATCCATGTAACGCGATTTAAAAAGAGCAGCAACTTTCTAAAAGTCAAAAAAATGCCAAGAAATGAAATCTTCGTTGGGAAGCCTCGCTCTTGAAATATAGTTGCTTTCACCTTCAAACGTCTTACCGCATCGACTGCGTCGTCGTGTCGACGTCGGAAAAGTCCACCAAATTTGTAAAGGTGTTGGCGCTGGGGGACCAATCGTTGTCTCCGTGCAGCGAGAAGGACGGCGAGCTCTCCGACGTTAGGGGCAGCGAGGACGGATCGACGTGACGTGCGGGCTCCTCGGCGCGTTGCTGTCTCTGCTGTTGCTGTTGCTGCGGAGTTGGAGAGGGAGTCAGCTGTGGCCGTACTCGCCGTTCACGGCGCGCCGACTGCGGTGAAGCGGAGAGGGGCGGGGGCAGGTCATTGGCAGGTGAAGGAACATTGCGCAGACGGTGGCTCTTGCGCTGACTCGCAGCTTGGTCACGCTGGTGATGAGGGTGGAGCGCAATGGAGGGGTAGGCAGGGTCTGTCCATCGCATCGTCGGTACGAAGGCTTCTCCGCCGCCGTCATTCCCTCCTCCCCCTCCGCCAGATACAAGGTGATTCAGCTGGTCATTTAGCTCGCGAAATAGCTTGTTGGGTAGTCGGTTTGGATCGCTGCGATGCCGTCGCTTTTTCATGACCGTAGCGGCACTCCCAGCAGCGTCGGCGGTGTTGGCAGATCTGCCCGCACCTGCATTCTGTGATGAGGAGGATAATGGAGGTGGTGGTGGTGGCGGTTGCGCTCCTTTGCTGCCGAACCGGCCTCCATCACCCACCATATCTCGCACGCCTCTGCTGAGGCCGTCAGCTTCGGTAAAATTACCCTCCTCTTGTTCGTACTGCGCCGTCACAGTGCGCTGATTAAGCTGGCGCATTCGTTGCTGCAGCAGCTGCTGTTGTTGCGCCTCCCCACTTTGAAGTAGCTCCGTTCTCTGCTGGTGCAGCGTCGCACGCGATCGCGCCTTGCGCAGAGCCTCGATCATGTCGCGCAGCCGCGCCTCATCCTCGCGCAAGTCCGCCCTCTCCTCCTCGAGCCGCTGCTGGGCCTGCGTCAGACTCTTCTTCGCTGCTGCCGTCGCGTCCTTCTGATGGGACAGGCGCGTTTGCGCGTCCGCCATCGCGACGGACCGACTCTGCACGTCGGCCGCACGCCGCTGGAGGGCTTCCACTTCGTGCTGCGCAGCCGCCTCCAGATCGGCAAAGGTGCGCTGCAGTGCGGCGCGCTCCACGGCGACGTCTCGTTCCTCCGCCTCCAACAGCTGGGTGCTCTGCTGGAGACCGGTGAGGGCCTCGTGGAAGCGTTCCTCCGCTGCGTGGCGCTCCTGCTCAACGAGCTGCTGCCACCGCCGATACTCGCGCCCCCACTCGTCTCGGCTGTGCTTGTCGGTGGCCTCCTGCTGGGCCAGCCACGCCGCTTCATCCTGGAGGTGGCGCTCCATCGTCTGCGAGGTGAGGCGCAGCTGCCCCGCGCAGTCCTCCAGAGCCTTGCGCTCCGCATCCGTGTTGCTGCACTGCGTGGCGGCTAAACTCTGCAGATTTTCCAGAAGGCTTTCCTGCTCCTTGAAGTATTGCGCACGCTCAACCTCCACTTGTCGCCGCGCCTCTTCCACGGCCTGCTCGTAGGACTTCACCGCCGCGACGGTTTCTTCGGTGGACGCCATAACGCCCCGCAGCACGTTGGCTGACTGAACGACACTTTCCTGTGCAGCGGACTCGATACGCTGCTGCTCCGCTCGCAGGTTTTCTTCGCGGCTGAAGAAGGCGCGGAGCTGCTCCATTTTCTGCTGGTGCAGCGCCTCCTCTTGCGCCATGACATCTTGATGTCGCGCATCGGCGTCGCGCAGACGCTCCACGTGCAGGTCGTGGCGCTGCTTACGCTGCTCCTGCAGCTCAGTCTCTCGCCGTTGCAGGGCGCCATCGAGCTCCCGCTGAAGCAGTTTTTGGTGCTCCATTGCCCACGCCTCGCGTGACTCGACGTAGACGCGCTCCATGCCCAGCTCCTCGTCTTGCAGGCGCCGCAGGTCCTGCTGTGCCATGGACTGCAGGTCGGTCAGCAACGACTCGTCCATCTTGAGCAGCCGCTCACGCTCTTGGTCTTCGGCGGAGCGCCAGAAGGCCAGCATCTCGCCAAAGAAGCGCTCGTACTCGTCACGCTCCGCCTGCGTTTCGCTCTCGACCCCCACCGCGAACGAAGTGTGGATTTCGCGCTGGACAGATGCCTGCAGCTCCGACTTCCACACCTCCATGCGTAGTCCGTCCTCTGCCTCTGATTGAAACACATCATCGAGTTTGTGCATGACGGCGGTGATCGCGGCCGTTAAAGCGATGTTCACTGCGTCCTTGGTAGCTGCAGAGTCACCCTTGTCCCCCAGCAGCTGTCGCAGACGCTCCTCCTCTGCCTTGGCGCTGCTCAGCTGCTTCTGCGCCTCCGCCATCTTCGCGTCGTACTCTGCCTTAACCTCCTGCTCCACTCTGCGCCGTGCGTCTCGCAGTTCTGTCTCGTGTTGATCTTGTGCCTCGCGTATTGTCGTCTCGGCGGCGCTCTTCTCGTCCTCGATAGCGGCCCACACACGGCGTATTTTTCCGTTGAGCTGTTCCACCTCAGCTTGCTTCAGCGCCTTTGTCACACGCCACTTCTCAACGAGAGCAGCTTCACGTTCTCTAGTAGACTGCAGCAGCTTCTTCTTGGCCGCAATCTGACGCTGCAGCTCCTCTGCGGTTGCCTCGTGCGTCGGCGGCAGCGGTGCGGAGAGGGCGGCGGACGCAGACGACGATGGCGCTGGCGCGGCGGGAAAAATCCGCGTCAGCTGCGTGGGAGAGCGCACCGGTGCCGACGCTCCGGTCTCCGCACCGCCGTCGTCGAAGCCGGTGAGGAAGTTCGGCAACTCGCTCTCCCTTATGGCCGGCACCACCGTCGTGGGGGACGCGAATTCGCGACGGCCGGCCGTGGCGGGTCGTGGCTGCGATGGCTGCTGCCGTTGCTGAGCTTCTCGCTGCTGCTGCAGGGCTCGACGGCGTGCGTCCATCATGGCGCTTTGTCCGGTGCCCGCGTTTAGACCGGCCGGGCGCATCTGTGGCTTCCAGTCATCGTCGCTGCTGGACATCTACTTGCTGTTTACGTTGTTGCTTCGGGTTTTTTTTTTGCTTGGTATGCCAGATGTCCAATCGGATGTCCGCCGAATGTAAATGTGCGTCTATGAGTCAATTCCTTCTCGTATGCACGTATCTGGCATCAACAGACTGAAGTACGCTGCTCGGCAGGCGACCGAGGAAGGAGTTCTATCAAGGAAATGCACAGTAGAGTTGAAAAGAGCACCTTTTATCTCTCTCCCGTTTGGGGTGCGTCTAGAAAATGTTTTTTTTCTTTTTTAAGTGGTATTGTCGACTGGAGGCAGGTGCACCGCCAAGTAAAGTTTGATCGAATGCACGCGCTTGAATAGGTGGCACGTGTCAGCAAAAGATGCGTCAACGACAAGAACGAAGCAGGTGTTTATTAATATCATAAAGGAAAAAACAGATGACGCAAGACGCAAGAGAGAAAAAAGTACAGCTTTCTTAGAGAACGCTCTGAGGCAATAACGTCGAAGAAGCATCATTGTATCGTTGTTAAGGAAACAACAAGGGAACAAGAGATGCATTAATAATAATAACAAGCCAACGCTTCACCAAGGGGAAAAAAGCGATCAAATGCTCTTTCTTTTTTCCCTTTAGCTACGGCCATGTTTCTAGTCTTTCCTCGCGTTCCCGTTGCAAGCAACCTATGAAATGTTGCCTCCGCGAGTCACACGAGTTTTGTAAGTGATGTATTTTTGTCTTCACCGCAATTCTATGCTTTTGTTAATGTATGCAGGTGCCCACTCTTGTTCCTCTCACCTTCCTCTTTAGCGGCACACCGCTGCAGAAGAGAAAATGAAGCTTCAACGTAACAAGCGAATACCCACATTCATACGTTCGTCATAAGAAGCTTCCAGCGGCGAACGTGCGTCTTCGTGCCTTTCCTTTTCTCGGCATTGCTTCACCAAGGAAAACCGCAAAGCACAGCGAGAGCGCAACACAATTCTTGGTCTTCTCCACTTCTCCTTAGCTGACGCAGTCTCCCGCAACTTCCTTGATGGGCTTACGCTGCGTCACCGCCTCCTTCACCAGCTGAAACGCTCCCAAGAGCCCACCCAGCCCCGTGGACTCCCGCGCGCCGCCTGCGGCGTAGTACTCTATGTCCGACAGCTTCATCACCAAGAAGCACTTGCAGTCTTGCGGAAGATCCATCGCCATCATGATCGGATGAATATCGCGCGCTAAGTCCGCCATCGATATTCCCTTCTGCATCACAGCCGCCTCCACCTTCGCCCAGCTCGTCGCAAAGTCGCCCGACAGCATGTCCGCCACAATCGCCGTCACCTCACCAGGCGTCGGGTTGCCCGTGACGCGGTAGACGGACTCTTCGGTGATTTCACTCGCGGAGAGTGCGGAGGACTGCATCGTGTTGAGGCAGCGGCGAAGATCGCCGTGGCTGAGCCGGAACGCCGCCGCGAGGCCCTCCGTGGTGTAGCGGACGTCTTCCTGCTCCGCCACGTACTTCAGCCGCGGCATCATTGCGGACTTCTTGACGGGCGCAAAGCGAAAACGAGTGCAGCGGGACTGCAGGGCGGGGATCACTTTGTTGATGTGGTTGCACAGAATGCAGAAGCGCACGTTCTTGGTGTACTTTTCAATGACGCGGCGCAGCGCGGCCTGCGCGTCGTGCGACATCTGATCCGCCTCGTCGAGTATCACCAGTTTGAAGTTCACTATCGGGCCGCCAGTGCTGCTGCCGTTCCCGTTGCTTGATGAAGGGCCCATCATGGAAAAAATAGAAGACGTGCTCGAGAACTCGCGAATTTGCTGACGTACCACGTCGATGCCTCGATCGTCAGACGCGTTCATCTCCAGCACGTTGGCCCGCACGCGATCTTTGCCGTAGAGGTAGTGGGCGCACGCCTTGATGGTCGTCGTCTTGCCGGTACCCGGAGGGCCGTAGAGGAGAAGGTGCGGCATGTTGCCGCTGTTCATGAGGTGCCGCAGAGTGTTTAGGATGTCCTCGTGCGCAACAACGCTGTCCAACGTACTCGGGCGGTACTTCTCCACCCACGGCAAATGGTTGCTGCCGCTTTTCCCCTCCTCGGCCTGTTTGCTGATTGCCATCATCTGTGCCTGTGTGGGGAATCAACTGCAGTGCGAACGTAAAAATGGAAGGGGGGGGTAAAAAAATCGTAAGATAACGAGAGAAAAGCTCTATCGTACTTTTGCGATACCAACTGGGCACAGCGGAAAAAGAATTCTTCCTTCTCGGTTTGAGTCTTAAATGAAGCAGAAAGAGAGGCCTTCAAAAATGTACGTACAATAATGTGGCCGCTCGCTTCGAGCAGACACGGTCAATTCTGACCGATTATCGCTTTTCAAGAAAGGAAAAAGAAGCCACGAGTTGGTGGAGTATCTTCAAGGAGACACGTTGACTTCTGGCACCAGTACGGTTTTCTTTTTTTTTTAGGTAGCTTGTTCTCGTTTTACTTTTCAGTTTGAGTTAAGTATTAACGCGTCAGCAAGTCGGAGACCGTATCAACAAGTCCCTAGAGAGAACGAAAGTGAAACGAAGGCGAAAACCCTCTGCCGTCTCCCCCACTTCTGTCCTGGTCTCAGCGAGGGAAGGGGGAAAAAAACCAAAATGCACTCTGGAAGAGAAGCGTCGCAATTGCCGCGTTACTTCTTTTGTTCCTATTCTTCTGCGCTCGCCTCAGTGCGCTTTGGGGCGTAATCGGCAAGATTCGCCGGTGGCTCGCCCAACTCGGAGAACTCGTGCATCAGCTCGAGCAGCGGGACCAAACGCGGGTCATCTTCACCCGCGATGGGGACTTCCAGAAAGGTGCAAATTTCCTCCGCCTTGGCGCGTTGGCGGCCGAAGCGCTCGCGGTCACTTTCCGACAGTTCGGCGCGGTGGTCCTCCATGTACGGCCCGTACGCGTCGCGCATGATCGTGATTGGTTTCACGAATTCGGGGTTCATCAGCGCGGAGAGCAGCACAGATGCAATGTTCTCCGGTACGGGGCCAAAGCTCTCGGGAGCTGCAGTGGACGGAGCGGATGCAGCAGCAGACGCAGACGCAGACGCAGACGCAGACAAGCCTCGCCGACCTCGCCGTCCTCACCGCCCTCGCCCTCCGGCAACGCGCCATCGTTCTTCATTCGCTCCAACACCTCGTTTGCCTTGTCGATGTCCTCCTCCTCCATCACGTGCATCAGCTCCCTCACGCGCTCCAGGTTAGCCTTGTCCTCCTCTCCAAGGCCTTCCTCACCTTCTAAGGATGACACCATCGCCATCACGTTCTTTTTGAAGCCATCTAGCGCCGCGCCGTCGGCTCCGCTACCATCTGAGTTACCTAGCATGGACATGAACATCTTCATCATGTCCCCATCTGCCCCGCCGGCGTCGGCGGACTCGTCGAGGGCTTTTTGGAGGTCGTCCTCCAACCGTGCGTCCCGCACGCGCACCTCCTCCTCGTGCTTGCGCTCCTGCTCGTCGACCATGTCCATGGCCTCGTCGAGAAGTGCGTCAAGATCGTCGTCGGCCGACATTTGCTTTTTTTAAGTCCCTCTAGCGTTCGTTAGAAGCCACGAAAAAAGAAAAAAGGAAAGATGCTGAAATGCGGCGTTGTGTGTCCAACCACAACAGCAGACAAAGGAAATAATGTAGGTCGCGATAGGTGGGTGTATAACTGCCAGCAGAGTTTTCGTTGATGTTTAAAAAAGGACGTTCCCTGCTGCTACGGATTCAGCATTTACAGAAACAAAAAGAGAAAGGGAGAGCGGCGCGTTTTTGCTACACTTCTCCCTTGTGGAATAATAAGTTTAAAATCAAAAAAGGCAGGTTTGAATGCACTCAGAGGTGGTGGAGTACGAAAACCCGCAGCACAGACTAAACGCACAGCATCAAAGACACGATAAATAGCGAATAGATGAGAAATGAGAGGTAGGCATGAAACACGTCTAAAAGAGTTAATACACATATATAGCAGCTGCACAGAGTCTTTCGATAAAGGTTGCATTTATCGCTGTTGAAGACCCAGGCTTTACAGGAAAACGATGCGACCCTTATCAGGCGGCGAAATGGTTGTGTGCAACGGCTAACTGCCCGTCAGGCAGCTGGATACATCAGACGAAGAAGTCGGTTTTTCATGTTCATGACGGATGCTTCTACCTGCTTGTGTGTGGGGGTGGGGGTGAATAAATGCGTTGCGATGAACGCGCTATGCCAGATGAAGTGCGGTTAGTTGAAAGCATCCGCCACAAGACAGCGATAAAAAAGCCGCGTGGCGTAGTCAAGGCTTTCCGTTGCGTCAGAGGCGGGTCAGCGAACGCTCTCTTATGCCGCTCTTTCCGCTTGGAGCTAAAATAGTTAATGTCGTTGCCTGCGCAAGGTGCGGCGATACTTGATGCTGTTCTCCTTCGCCTCTTCTTTACGGGCGGCTTTGCGCGCAAACTTCGCATCCACTTTTTCACGCTTCTTTCCGAAGGTTTTATTTGTTGGCTCTCCCTCGACGGGCTGCTTAACCGACGAAGACGGATCATTCTTTCCTGCCAAGTGCGCAGACGGCGATGCGGACGCTGTGGAACCTGGCAGTCCTGCGGACGAGCCCACGGCACCACCCGAAGCACCTGCATTCATTTTGTTCTTTCCGTTAACCTTTTGCTGCTTCTTCGCGTTGCGCGCCGCCGCCTCGATCTCCTTCGCGCTGGCACGGCTGAGCACCGCCGCCGTGATGCGCCGACGTGCCTCCGCGGCGGACTCCGCTCTGTCCAGATCTCTCCGCTCCACCTTCTTTTGTTGCTGCAACGTGTCAGCCTGACGCGCGTCGGCGTTCTTCCGACGCTGCGATTTCTCCTGGGAGACGGACGCGGCAAACTCGTTGAAGAAGCCTTCCGCCTCGTCAGCCCACTCCTCAGCCCCGTCGCTCATTGTACTTCGTATTCGTAAAGGAAATTACGTGAAATGACTGATGCGTGTGTGCTACAATTGAATATGTATATTTGTGGAGAGCTATGAAGTGTGTATGCGCATGTGTCGCAGTGCATCAAGGAGGCACGGCGGCGTAAAACAACACAACAAAAAAGTCAACGCGAAAGCAGAGGAGAAGAGAACGAAAAGAAGAGACGTTTTGGTCCTTTTTCTTTCCCTGTGGGTCCATTGGGTGCGGTCCGAACAGAAGCGTGAAGAACAGCAACAACGCGCTCCACCCCTGGAAGCTCCAGCAGTCATCCCAGCCGAGACGGAGTGACCAAATCGAATCGGCAAGTGAATCATTGCAGGCTTCTTTTCGATTGTGCGTGTGTGACAACCACGAAAGATGTCAACCGCACCAAGGATCGCTGCTGTAGGAGGGGGGAAGGGGGGAGGAGAGGGAACGAGCGGCAGAAAACGCTACAATTGGATTTATCCGCAAAGCGTACGCTCCAGTCACAGCTGTTGGTATTCCTTTTCGTTTACTTTTAAGGGAAAGAATGTCGTCTCACACGGAGAGAACAAAAGTAAAGAAAAAAATAAGTGTGCATTAGAGTGGAAGCTCGGAGTGGTTGCGGAAGAGAACGGGACACTTACTGCTCCACGGTCTTGGTGGTCAGACCCTTGAAGGACGCCACGGGCACGTTCGAGATGACGGTGTAGAAGTGCTTGTGCTTGTTGCCCTCCGTCGTCTCGGACTTGCGCTGCACCAGCACGCGCACGCGGCCGGGGACACCCTTCACGCCCTTGTGCCAGATGTACGTGTTCAGCGACGCGTCGATGCGGTTGTCCTTCGTCTTCATCAGACGGCCCACGAACGCCTTGATGCGCTTGATGGCCAGCGGAGCGCGCTTGTCGAAGGTCTTCTTCTTCAGCAGCTTCGACAGGTGGATCGTCGCCTCCATGCTCACGGCGTCCGGCTTGCGGCCGGTGCGCTTGCGCAGGGACGCGCGGGTCGCACCACGCACGCGCGAGTTCTTCGCGGTGTTGCCGACGCCGCGGAACTTCTTGCGCTTCTCCTCGTCCATCTTCGCAATCACGCGCTTCCAGCGCTTGTCATCGCGGTTCTTGCGGCTCTCGACGGCCTTCTTGCGGGCCTCGATCAGTGCGGCCTTCTTCTCCTTGCCGAGCACCTTGCCCTTCAAGCCAGCGCGAGTCATTGCGGTGCTCCGTCTCGCAGGTTAGCTCTGTTTGAACTTGTTTCGTGTTTCCGTGGTTTTCATTTCTTCATTTTTCTGTTCAGAAGATGAATGGCGTACAAAGCGATTTGTGCTGCTTTCGTAGTTCACAGATGCGCTCTTGAGCGTCATTTGCTTTCTGAGTGATTTACAATCGAGTAAACAACAACACCGAATTAATATGGAAACGCAGGGTAGTGAAGAAGGCACTACGGTGGTGCCGCAATCCCGAGTCACCGCCTTCGTGATGGATGGCTCGCACATGTGCGCCAGTGTGGGCTCCCAAATAAACGGCGAGCGCCACTCTCCATCGTTTCTCTCCTGTCTTTCTTCCATTTGTAGGGCGAATGGCGCAACGGTGAGAGTGTGAAGGCTGGTCAGTAGCGAGCGCGGACATCAATCCTGCAGTTCCTTGTCCATGTCTCTTTTGCTCACATGACGTTGAATGGATTTTTGGGTCTCCTTGCCCAGTTTTCCGAGCAATGCCACGTGCGTGTCGAATGTAGCGCGGTGAGTGCTGTCTGGACGAAGTTCATTTCTTTCGTTCTTCGCCTGGAGGTCGCTCCATATGTCACAATTAAAACAACAACGCTGAAGATATCACCGTTACAGTGTTCTCCATCTTCTTTTCTGTCTTCTTCTTTTCTTCTCTCCTCTCCTCCTCACCCTGTGTGAACGTGAACCCGTTGCAAACGTGAAAGTGGCATTAGCTCGTTTTCTAAGAGAACGGGACACTTACTGCTCCACGGTCTTGGTGGTCAGACCCTTGAAGGACGCCACGGGCACGTTCGAGATGACGGTGTAGAAGTGCTTGTGCTTGTTGCCCTCCGTCGTCTCGGACTTGCGCTGCACCAGCACGCGCACGCGGCCGGGGACACCCTTCACGCCCTTGTGCCAGATGTACGTGTTCAGCGACGCGTCGATGCGGTTGTCCTTCGTCTTCATCAGACGGCCCACGAACGCCTTGATGCGCTTGATGGCCAGCGGAGCGCGCTTGTCGAAGGTCTTCTTCTTCAGCAGCTTCGACAGGTGGATCGTCGCCTCCATGCTCACGGCGTCCGGCTTGCGGCCGGTGCGCTTGCGCAGGGACGCGCGGGTCGCACCACGCACGCGCGAGTTCTTCGCGGTGTTGCCGACGCCGCGGAACTTCTTGCGCTTCTCCTCGTCCATCTTCGCAATCACGCGCTTCCAGCGCTTGTCATCGCGGTTCTTGCGGCTCTCGACGGCCTTCTTGCGGGCCTCGATCAGTGCGGCCTTCTTCTCCTTGCCGAGCACCTTGCCCTTCAAGCCAGCGCGAGTCATTGCTACGATGTTGTGGAATGACCTTATTTCTAGAGATCCGCGTAGGACGTTAATAACAACAAACAAAAAGTGTGAGATGTACAAGAACATAATGCGACGAGAAACGTAGAACAGAGGGGCAACAAGAAGTAGAAGAAGCAAGAGTAGGTCAAGGCGGTAAAGTGGATAGAGGATTCCCCCTCTTATTATTCCTCTGCTTGTCAAGGATAGGAATTCCTTTTTCAGGAACGTTTCATTTCGAAAACTCTTTCGGTGGAGTGAAAGGAGCAGGGAAAAAAAAGACGCTGCTCGCAATGTGCCGTCACCAGACACGCCGTCACTAACGACATTGTATTGCAATCACGACGGCATTTTTAATGGAGACTATACATGTAAGAGCAAAAGGTGGCCGGAGAGTGAAAATACGTTCAAAAAGAAAAAATGGGCATTCGAAGAAGCTACGCGATGGGTTTTTCGGCGAGGTTCAGTCGCGTGTGCGTGTGCGTGTATGTGCTTAACGAGGGGCTGCGTTCGAAACCCCCAAAGAAAAGGAGGCCTTAGTGCACTTTGCCGAAGCTTTTCGCCAACCCCATCATGTTGGACACGTCGAAGCGCTCCACCCGCCCCTCAAAGTTGCCAACAAGCGTGTACTGGTGGGCCACGAGGGAGGACAACGGCACGACCTCAGCTGCATTCTTGGGCGAGGCAGCAGTCGTTTTGTCTCCCGGTCGTGCTGCACCTTTGATGCCTCTGTCAGGGAAAACGTCGCCGATCCAGCACGTCGCGGCAGATGCCATGAAACCGGGTCCTTCTCGGTGCGTGAGCTTGTTCTTGTGCGTGCTCACGTACTCCACTGATCCGCCGTCCGACCACACGATGAGCTCCAAGGGAGAAAAATATAAACTATTCAGCCCGCCTTTGGAAGGAGAGGAAGGTGAGGCGTTGCTCTTCGCAGCCAGCGCAGCCTTGCCACGTAGCACCTTTGACTTCAATTGGTCTTTCTTGCCTCCCTCCGCCGCCGCCGCCGTTTCACTATTCACGCGAAGAGACGTCACGAGAGGCTTCATCGCACACATGCGCCACACCCAGGCGCCCGGTTTGAACAAGAGGATCTTCTTCAATAAAAGGAATGGCACGTCCTTCTTGAGGCAGCCCCACAGCAGCACCTCCCCTGTGGCGTGGCCAGAGTACAAATGCGTGTGTGACCCTCTGGAGCAGCCCGTGCCGGATGCGAGGCACGTGATACGTCGTGCGTCATAGCGGAACTCGGTGGGGAAGGGAATGGCGTCGCACCCGTCCACGCTCTCGTGTGGGCCGGCTAAATGCAGCACGTGCTGAAGGTCACTAGGCAGCAGACCGCAGCGATGCTCGACGAGGGCGGCCGCATCGGTGGATATCGCACCCGGCATTTCACGCTGAAAGGCTTGCTCTTGCACGCGCGGAGCGGCCACACGCTCCGCTTCCGGGTCACCGGCTTGATAAGAATTGCACCGTCGCTGGTTGTACGCAAAGGTGCCCAGCACTGCTCCGTGCTCCAATTGCGGTTCGTGCACGGTGGCAGGCGCAAGACGTGCGTCCGCGTCGACGTCCGACTCCCCCGCTGGGTAGGGCAGCGAGTCGTGATAGAGCCAGTCCGCGCAGTTCCACAGACAGAGGGTGCCGTCCTCCTGCCCTACCGCCAGCAGCGGCGTCGGCAGCGCCGCAGACGTGAAGACAGGCATCACAGCGGTGATCAAAACGGTGTGTTGCAGACTGTGCAGGAGCACCAGCTCTGGAGTGGCGGCTGTGACCTTTAACACGTGGACGTGCCGAAGAGAGGCCGCGCAGAGCAGCGCTGCGTCGTCGACACGAGATGATTCCTGCTTCCCCGACGCACGCGCGTCGCCTACGGCTTGCGGAGATCCCTCGCTACTTATCGCCGGCTTTGCTGGGAAAGGCAGCAGTTGCATGGCCGTGATGGCGCTCGCCGTTGGTCTGCAAAAGCTTTGCGTCCGGTACGTCATCGGACTCCATACAACCACCACGCCATCCTCGCAGCCCGTCAGCACCCAGCGTATTTCTGATTGAGTGCACACGTCAGCGTAGCGAGCGTCGAGCGCGGCGCTGTCGGAGGTGCCGGCAGTGGTGAACTTCACAGGAGAAGAGGACGGCACCTTTGCTGCAGAAGCGCCCGTCGATGAAGAGGAAGGCCAAGAAGAAGAAGAGGCGGCAGAGTTTGCGAGAGGAAAGCAGCGCACAGCGTTCACCCATTGCGAATGTCGCAGTTGCGCTTGGAGTTGCTGCGTTGCCACGTCCCACACGAGAACGTCTCCGTTGCAACTCGCCGCGTAGGCGCGGCCGCCGTGCGGATCGACGTCCACGTCGTTGATCGAGTCAGTCGCTCCGTGGTACGCGCATCGCAGGCAATCAAACGCCCTTGGAATGCTGCACATTACAAAACAAGGAAAAAAAGGTCGAAGAAAGGCCAACTGTGGTCACCGTGTGTGTGTTAGACGACTGACAGGCACGCGCGCACAAGCGTGTAAAGACGCCTGTGGGTTTAATTTGCAGACGGAAAGTGCAGAGAGTATGAATAATACACCGAGATAAAAGCGAGGGGAAAGAAGAGAAGAGCTGGGACGGAGCTGTGATCGTGTTGATGCCGGAGGAATGGAGGTAGACACAAATGGTATGAAAGAGACCCCTACATTGGTTGCTTTCTTTCCTTTCTTTTGAGAATGGTCTGTCCTGCTGGAAAAAATGTCTTTGGGGGGCACCGTGATCCTGTTGCCGCTGTAGTTCTCTCTGAGCTGTCGTTCACGACGATCGAATGTTGTCGTAAACGCTACCCTGCAAGAAGACAACAACGCTGCGCGTTAAAAGGTGGTTGTCCTCAACGCTTTTCTTTCTTTCCTTCTCTCCCGCTCTATTAGTGTTGTTGTGTTCTGTTTTTCGAATATGAATCGCAATACGATGTTTTTCTTCTCCTCTTGAACGATTAACGTTGCTGAGCTACGCTGTCCCTCCAGGAGAAAGGGGGGAAAAAAAGGCCCTGACCACATTTACAGGTGAGGTCAACATTCACGGTGTGCGCTGCGTGTCGGACACGAACATTACGACAACGATGCGAGGCAAGCGCGTGATCCGGTGTGCAAAAGGAGAAGGGGAACAAACAGAAGAACGAAGATGACATAACGAAAGAAAGCGTAGACACACACACGCACACACACGACACATGACACACGACACACCCGATGAGGGGGGGGAAAGCGTAGAGAACAAAAAAGTCTGTAGGTCGACACTCGAGCGATTAAAAAAAAAAAAGGGGAAGAAAGAGATCAAGCATGGAACTTCTACTCTAACTGCTGTGTTGTGAGGTGCGCCATATTTTTCCTATTATTACTTCTTTGGGACTGCAAAGATCAGTCAATGTTAGCAAGATAGGCAGAGAAACCTGGCGAGCAACACTGCAAACAAGAATGTGGCCTACGTTCGTGAGCGACCGTAAAAACAAAAAGAAGAGTAGAAAACAAAAAAAACGGAACAACAGAACTTAATCATTCGAGAAATTAGGATGTCTAAAGGTGAAATAAATAAATAAAACGGCACTTAAGAAAGAAAGAAAAAGGACAACCTGCAATGAACGAGGACGCTGCGTGCCGTTATCTGTCTTGTTTCGTACCCGTAGCAGGAAGCGGGTGCTCACCTCAGCACCGAACTCAAGAAAAAAAAAACCTAAATACATCAGTCGTTGTTACCAGCTCCACACACAACACAGCGCATCTGCAAAAGCGAACAGAAAAAGACTTTACATTCTACTGTCAGTGTAATCTGACGTCATTAAAAGAAGAAAAGAAAAGAAAGGTACCTCCTAGAATAAAACCGACAATCACCGCTCTTTTCTTCGTCAGACTCAGTAGCCGCGCATGGAGTCGACGAACCGTCGCACCTCATCTAACGAGTTGGACGAAAGCTCCGCGCACAACACCTTGATCGCCTGCACAACACCCTCCTCCGTCGGGCCCCCATCCACGGAGGCGGAGGACGGATACTCATTGACAGCCTTGGCGCGTGCCGGAGCTGGCGCTGGGGCTTTCGGGGCCGGCGCAGTTGGCCCTGCGTTACCGCCGCCGCCGTTCCCACTGCGCGGTGCGGCCTGCACGTCGCGATGCACGTTAGCAGCTGGAGTCTTTCGAATTGGCGCGTTGCTGTTTGCGGCTGGTCCACGCTGGTTCTCGTTGCCGTAGCCGGCATTGCCGATATTTGCGTTCTGACGTGATTTCAGAGTCGGACCTGTGTTTCCACCAGTGTGGCGCGCCGCTTGTGCCTGTGCGTGGCGCTCCTCCACGGTGGGTGCGACGTAGCCCTCCGTGGCCTGTGCGTACTTGGACGGCGGCGGTGCGAAGCTGAGAAGCTGCGGAAAGACGCGGAGGGCGTCATCGCGCTCCTCGTCGGTGATGTCGCGATCATCAAGGCGCTCGAGAGACGGGATGGCCGCAATGACAAAGCGGCGGTAGTTGGGGTCCCGACTAATCGGATTATCGGAGAGGTTCAGCACCTCCAGGTAAGGCAACCGGGAGAGGTGCAGAACCTGGTTGATGTCGCGGATGTAGTTCTTGCGCAGATACAGCTCAACGAGGCGGCGGCAGTTCGAAATCGCACCGATCTCGGAGATCTCGTTGAGGGACATGGAGAGCACCTCTATATTCGCGGCCTGGCAGAGGACGCCGATGTCTTGCAACTGGGCAGCACAGATATTCAGCTTCTGGATGCGGTGGATATCATCCACCTTCGACTTCTGCAGCACCAAATTGAGCGTGAGTACACCTGCCATTGTTGAACCGGAGGTATAAAACTGGAAAAACCACTACGAAATGAACGACGTGGAGGTCAGGGAAAAAAAAAGGTAAGGGTGAAGTTTGAGCTCGTGGTGCTCTGAAACAGCAGAAAACAAAATGAGTACGTTGACGCTCCGTCAAACCTGTTGTTTTCCAATCTTGGAAGAGAAGAAAGCACGACGAAAAGAAGCATGAGAATATAGAGAGAGAGAGAGAGAGAGTAAAAGAAGTATAAATTGGGTATTGAGATATATAGAGAAAGTCAAAAAGAAGTTCATGTTTCGATGCGTACAGTCACGTTTCAAAAAGGAACAAGAGGCGAATTGCGTGCGAGCGTCAGCATTAAAATGTCCTACAGACGTACGATTGAGTCTTCCAATGCGGTCGATGATGAGAAGACAGCAAAAGAACAGCAATGAACTGCAGAAGTACCCAACTTCAGCTGTTGCACGTCGAGCTCAGCGGGGAGAAGCCTGATAAAGAAAAAAAATAATTCGCATCGAGTAACAACACTAAAAGCAGTCAATCCCCATAATCAAACGACGCGCTGCGACGACGAGATCGCTTCTTTTCTCGTCTTCATCCCCCTGCCCTCCTACGTACGCACCTTTCGCTCGCGGTCCCAAACGTGTCTGGCAAACGCAACTACAAATAACGACTGATGGGGCTTGCCTGGCTCCGGCTGATGATACGTCTGCACCTCCGCCTCAAACCCCATCGATTGCAACGCGCCTTGAATAATACCTCCCATGAAGCTCGCGTAGTTCACGTTCCACCGCCCCTCACTGTCGATGTAATCCGGAGACGGATGTACGTACTTCAGCACCAACGGGTCGCTGTCGAAGAGAAAGAACCGATCTGAGTTGCTCTCCCGCTGAATGTCACGCGCCGAGCGACCAAACCAGCGCAGCCACAGCTTCTCCTGCAGGAGCTTCAGCACCGCATCGATGGTCAGCGGACGGCGCTGCAGGTCAACCGGATCGCGCACGGAGGAGAGCATTATCAATCGCGTGCCAACGTGCGCACCGAGCGAGGTGAGGCGAGCCTCGACCTCCTCCACGTTCTTTACCTTTGTCGGAAAGGTGTAGGCTCGAATGCACATCTCGGAAAAAAGAAAGCTGAACGCGGAAAGCGCCACCTGGGTGTGCTCGCTAGAGGAAAGGTCCGCACCGCCTTTTTCGTTGACCACCTTCCCGGTCGTTACCACACGCGGTCTTGACATGGCGTGCGTTCCTCGCAGCGGTGATCTTTTCTTCCTTCCTGTTACTAGTATTACGCTCTACGAAATAAGATGGAAGCCAACGGCGCTTTCTTCTGTAAAGTGGTTGCGGTGCATAACACCGATCACCGAAAGCGATAATCCGTAACCACGACGAAACGAAAACGGAGGTCACTACTTGAAATAAGTCTAATCAACGCTGTGATGCACTGTAATGGTATGAAATGGTGTACAAATCAGAAGAGGTTTCATAGGGAAGGAAATAGAGGCGTTTCATACGACGTTTCTTACTCTATCTGGTGGAAGAGGATACTCCTCATTTTTATTTTCCACGAAGAGTTCGCATTATGCCATCAACAAGTGATCTCGCATATAACGCGACAATTACGTGTGTTTGCGCGACCTCCAGTCGGTAAAGAAAAGCCGCAGAAAGGTGGCGCTGTGCGAAGGAACCGGTCAAAGTCACCATACGTATCTGCATCTACTTAATCTTGAGTATGGGTCCATAGGACTAAAAAAAAAAGAGGAAAATTTTCAAAAAATGTGTTTCCTCGTCGCAGAAGAAGTGTCTTGCACGTATTCTGCTAGAGGGAAACAACGACGAACAAAATAAATAGAGGGAAATTGTTGGGGGAATACAGAAGCAACAACACAAACAGACACCGAGCAACAGCAGTCACTTGAGAAAGGCAAAACGAGGAGATACGAGAAGGTGCTTCGCTCTACTGATAAGGGAAAAAAACAGCTTTCCCCTTCTCCTTCACGTTTTCTTCTCTCGCCCAACGGCTAAACAGCCGTAAAGATATGCCAACGTGGGTCGACGAAACAATAGAATACAAACGCACTCTCAGGATAATCGATAAAACGTCGGAAAACAAAGAATCACCTGATAAAAAGCAGACGCGTTGGGTGGTTCAACACAGATCCTCATCTTCCACGAAGGAAACAAAACGCTTTTCTTAACGTGGGCCGAATGGAAGTGAAAACCCCCGCGAGAAACACGAGAGAGAAAAAAAGAGAAAAACAAAAAAGGGAATTTTAAGAAAATAACATTTACTGCACGCGCACCGCACGGCAGACACCGTCCTTTTCTTTACTTCTCTCTGCCGTGCCCGTTCACCCTTGGAGTAGAAGAACCTCGGGTAGCGGAGAGAAGATCAGTGACATATTGCTTCCTTCTTTCTTTTCGTTGAGTGACTTTGTGAAGTCGCTCAAGCCGATCCAGACTTCGAAATCCGTACAGACACACACACACACACGCGCGCGCACGCAAGAATACAATAAGAATACTCTCCGAAGCACACCTTCACGACTCTCTGAGAAAAGAGTGTCTCAGTCGTCCGTCGCGTAGAAGGAAAGAGGAAAAGAAGGGAGGAATCCTTCGACCTGGCTCTAGTAAGAAAAACAGAACCACAGAAGAAGAAAAAACGAGTCACCACCAGGTTCTGGAATGAAGAGAGAGGGAACACTACACGAGTTCAAAATTTTAAAAAAAAGAGGGAAGAGAAAGTACTCTAGAGCGTACGTGATGGACAAAACGATTGAAGCTGGTATACTTATATCATTCTCTAGACACCGTTTTAGTGGATCTCCATCCTGCGAAATATACAGATAAATTCTTTAAAAGCTTGCCTTCGGAAGACAACGGTCAAAATGGAGACGCAATCAAAACAAGGACGTTGTATTAGTGAGATAACAAAAATACGCGGGAACAACAAGATATACATTTAGAAAAAGAAAGGTCACCCAACGTGCTTCTTGCCCGAACACCAACGTGTTGTTGCTGTTGTTTTCTGGCTTCTTCATCGCCGATCGCGTCTCCTGAGGGGGACAAAGCACAGGATTGATCTTCGTTTTTCTTCATTTATGTTACACAACGGACCGCTCCTACTTCTTCTTCGTTTTCATACTAAGAGCCGTTTATTATTATCTTTTCAAATAGTGCTACCTGTCATTAGCCTGTTCAAAAATTTCACCCGACCAATAACAAGAAGAAATATTATTCCAAAAAAAAGGACTTCGAAGCAGTATTTGCAGCTCTCTTTACGGCTTTTCTCTCTCCCCCACCCACCTACCGTGGAAAGGACGTACCCGTCGCCATCCGTAGCACTCTCTTCATCACTGCTTTCCTTTTCCTTTTCAGCGGGCTTTGTTTGATACAAAGTAGTTCCCTCCTCTTTTGCCTCGTGTGTGTCATGTACCAATGGCAGTGCGTGAACCCCACGGCCTTTCTTTTCGTTTCCCTACACACTTTCCATGCAAATTCGACGGAGAAGTCCTCGTTGCGGACTTTTGAGGGAAAACGATGAACTCGGGAGCAAACGAATTGCTACGCGGGAAGTGCGACGAATGAGAGACGAAAAGAAGAAAAGAGGAGCACTCCATAACTGGTTCAAAGGCTTGCGTCATTGGGAGCTGTGATTGCGTGCGTTTCGTCAAGGAACCATCAGGTCGCTACTGAAACTGCGGCTCCGCAGAGGTGCCACCGTTGTTGTCGGCTACGCCGCCCGTGTTGCTGCATGAAGTGCCCTGCAGAGAGCTCCTGGCGACCTGACTCGTCGTGCGAATCGCCCAAAGGCACTTCTCGTAAAGCACGAACGCCATCACCGTCGACGGAATCACACGCGCCACGTTCACCGGCAGCCCGCGATACATGCCCAGCAAGCCCTCGCTGCGCCAGATGGTCTGCAGCCCCACCCACATACTCGCGTACTCGCGGCTGCCGTGGTTGCGCTGGTCCTGCAGCCGAGTGCGCACCACCTCCAGCGGGTTAAAGACGCAGCACGCCACCGCTTTCGAAAAGGCGGAGGCCAGCGCCACCTGCAGCGGCGACGGATCTTCGTGGTTGGTAAAGCAGTTTCGGCGGAACCACTCGTAGATCGTCACCTGGATTGTGGTGTTACTCGTGAGAACGATTTGAGGGCCGAGGCCGCGGAACATGGCAGTCCAACCCTCACGCTGCACGATTGCACGCACACCACCCAGACCAGAAGGCAGCGGCTGCGCCGGCTTTCCGTTGACCATGCGCTGCCCGTCGAAGAGCTGGCGGCGCGTCTTGAGCACGTGTAACGGGGTGATGACAGTGCCGGTAATGGTGGCCGCTATGCAGGCACTGAGGAAATCGCGTCCGGAGGCCTCAAGGACCGAGTTACTCAGCCGGTCGCCAAGCAGCTCCGTCACATGCTGCTGGGCCGAGCGAAAAGTGAGGAGGTAGAGTCCCCAGCCGAGGCTGTGCGACACGACCGACACGCCGATACCTTTGTACATGCCACGCAGTCCCTCCTGTCGGACGATTTCACCGGCGGAGCGCAGCGGCATGGTGCGGCTGCCCTGATGTAGTGTGTGCATGCGGGTGCGCAGGAAGTCCAGCGGGTAGAACAGCATCATTGCAGCGGAGCCGCCCAGGACGCCGGCTGCACCGTGCATCCACGGCTGCTCGCCCTTGGCCAGCACGGGCAGCGACGAACGCGACGAAGAAGACGCGGACGGCATCTGTACGTGATAAAAAAGGAGGGGAGAAAGCGAACGAGGTTGTTTTTTTTAACACACACAACTACGACAAATGTGTCGCGTATTCGAGTAGATGATGTCGCTGAATTCAAAAACTTGGGGGGTTGTGTGTGTGCTGTTGCTTTGTGTCGCTGTGAAAGTGCTTTTAATGAGGGAGCAGAAGAAAAACAGAAAAGTGCGAGGGAGAAACCTGACCTAGCGAACGGAAGCGCTCCGTAAAACAGGGAAAAAGATTTTTGTGATTTAACAAGACAAAGTAAATGAGGCGAACTCGAGGCGAGCTGCCATCATGGGTTTGTTTGGCAAATAGGTATGATTGTGATGGACGCCTGGGCAAAAGAGAGAAGAAGGGCCTGTAGAGTAGTGTAATGACGAGAAGCGGTTAAAGAGAAAAAAACCGATCGTCGTTCGTAAATATGGTTATAAATGGGGAAAAAAAATATGCTGTTTACTACAGGTTTGCAGACAGGACAATAATGTAGCTAGCGTTGCCGCTATCAGCCTAAGCTATTGATTTTTTTTCTTTTAAACTGTAAGAGAAACAAAGAGAGCCCGCAGATTGTTTTCTTTTCAAGGAGATCACTAACGTTAAAAAAAAAAGAGGACGAAACGAGATAATGACTTCAATCAATAATAGTTTTGGTTTTTTTGCTAGTTCTGGGACGAACACGTGTACGTACGCACAAACACGTTCCCTGAAGTGGTTCACGGCAACACGGACGTTGGATTGGATGAAGCCCCGTTGGCCGATTTGCATTGCCCACGAAAAAAAAAGTCATACGAAGAGGAAAAGGGAGAAAACAAAGAGGAAGTGAGGCAAAAAAATGTATTCTTGTCGGATCAAATGAATGCCGCTTCATTGGGCCCAGTTCAATCTCGCCGAGCTTTCCGCGACAGCAACGCAGAGAGCCCATCCTGAGAAGTATGAATCAGTCTGGCACGACTAACCCGGACGAACAAGACAGCACACACTCACACACGCGTGCACATACAAAGCTGATTTGGGTAGCCGTGGGGCACGTCTCTTTCCATTCTTCGCAGTCACTCACAGCTCGCTAGTCAAAGCAGCCGATTTTGAGAGATTGTTTGCTATGTGGGGGGGAAATTGGTTTTGCTTGGTTTTGACTGTTTGGTTCTTTTGCTTTTTGCTGGCCCCATCTTACGTGAATGGAAAGATGAACGGGAAATCGCTACAGGAAACGATGTGGCTTGCATTCGAAAGATGAACATAGGAAATAGGTTTACTAGACGAAGTGCGGCGTGGTTTTCGGGCTTTAAAAAAATCTTGACACAACAACGGAGAGAGAACGAAAAGTGAAGCAGCAGTTGAAAAGAGGAAAAACCGCACATATATATATCTACTGCTGTTCTACAACTCTGAAACGACGAAAGACAGAGATGACGAAGAGGCAGAAAACAAAAAAACGTTTCCATTCACCAGTTTTGTTTTCCGCAGTGTCGCTTCATTTGCACGTTCGGTTCGTTATGCGTCAACGCTGCTTGTCGTGTTCCGTTCCCCTTGTTGGATGTCGCGTCGCGTCCTCGTCGAATAAAGAAGAAAAGAGAAATGAGAAAACATAGAAAAGCGAGGCGATGACAAAATAGGAAAAAAAAAGACGCACGTATATCGTTTGCCTTTGGTCTTCTTCGTGCGGGTGAGGGTGAAATTTGTTGGCGGCTCGCAACACCAGTCCTGTCCTCTTTCGCAGCTCGCACCACAAACACCTTTTTTCCCCCTTCATTTGTTTTTCTTTTTAGATCTGTTTACTTGGCTACTGAGGAGTGCTGGATCCCAAAATAAATAAAAGAGGAAAAGGAAGCAACTCCGTCAGCAAGCAGATGAACATTATCGGAACGCGTTTGAGAGGCTCCACGAAAAAGGAGACTTGGTTCGCCGGGGCTGCGGTGCTGAGAACTGGTTCGTGTTGCGGTAAGGTGAATGGTGTGTTGGTTCTTCACTTTGCATAAAACTAAAATAATGATAAAATAGAATTCATAAGGGGAAAACGGCTATGCATAGCCATGACATCGAACGGAGAACCCAATCACCTCTGACGCAGCGGCGCTTGCCTTCCACCAACAGAAAAAGAGAGAAAATGGGAAAATGGGAAAAGGAAAAAGGAAGGAGCTCATCCACAAAAAGAGGGGGTAAAATAACGGAGTTCCCTCTCCCCTCCTCCGCCCACTCCCATTCCTTACTGCATCTCCGGCCAGTTGAACGACTCGCGGCCCTCCTTGTCCACACGCTCGTAGCCGTGGCGGCCGAAGACGTCACGCTGCAGCGAGACCAGCTGGCCGTACGGCAGCACCGGCTGGTACATCGCATTGATGTACGCCAACGACGCCAGCATCACCGGCAGGGAGACGGCGGTGTGCGTCGTCATCAGGGCAATGATGCTGCGGTAGTCCTGTAGACCCTCGCCCAGCTCCTTCGTGAAGGCGTCCATCAGGTTCGGGAGGTGCGGGTCCTTCTCGAAGGCCTTTGTCATGGGCATCAGCAGGTAGCCCTGCAGAATGCAGCCGGCGCGGAAGGTCGCGATGGTGGCAGGCAGGTTGAGACCAAAGCCGTAGACCTTGTCCAACTCACGCAAGCACTGGAACATCTGTGCGTAGCTCGCGATGATGGAGAGGACCACGGCGTGGAAGAGCTGCTTCACCTCCGGCGCGTGTGGGCTCTTGTCCTTGACGGCGAGAGCGTGGCCCTTCGGGAAGTGAGGGAATGCCTTCGCATTGGCAATGCGCTCGTCCTTGTACATCGTCATCTCACGCGAGATGACAGCCATGTTCAGCGACGGCGCCGGCACGCCCACCTCAAGCGCCTCCTGCGCCGACCACAGGCCAGTGCCTTTGGAGCCGATGCGGTCCTTCACCTTCTCCGACAGGTAGTTGCCGGCCGGCTCCTTCGCGCGGCAGGCGGCGATGGAGATGTCGAGCATGTACGACTTGAGGAAACCCTGGTCCTTCCACGACTGAAAGACGTCCGCGATCTGGTCGTTGTTGAAGCCGAGCGCCAAGAGGGCGTTGAAGGCCTCGCCCCAGATCTGCAGGATCGCGTACTCGCCGGCGTTGTGGTACATCTTCACGCACGAGCCGGCGCCGCCCTTGCCGTTGAAGGTCACGCACGGGCGGCCGTCCTCGGCCTTGGCAGCGGCGGCCTCCACGATCGGGCGCACCTCCTCCCACACGCTCGGCGTGCCACCCGGGAAGAACGCCGGACCCTTGCGGGCGCCCTCCTCACCACCAGAAATACCCATGCCGAGGAAGCGCAGGCCCAGGCTCTCGAGGTGGGTAGCGCGCTTATCCTGATCCTTGAAGTTCGCATTACCCGTGTCGATGATGATGTCGTCCTTCTCAAACACCCCCTTGAGCTGCTCAATCGTGGCGTCGGTGGGGGCGCCAGCCATGACCAGGATGAACGCCTTGCGCGGCTTCTTGAGCGAGTCGGAGAATGCCTTCATCGTCTCGTACCCCTTCAGGTTGCACGCAAAACGCTGCTTCTCGTTCTCCTTAAGAAACTCTACCGTCTTGGCGTACGTTCGGTTGAAAACGGCGACCTTGAATCCCTTCTCGGCGATGTTCAGGGCAAGGTTGGCGCCCATCACGCCGAGGCCAATGATGCCGAGGTCGTTCGACATTGCTGTTGCTTTTTTCTTTCTTTCTTTTTGGTAGTAACGAGGATTTTTTTTTCTTCTTCTTCTGCTCACCGAAGAGGTGACTAAATGTCAAATGAAGTTTTCGCACGGAGAGGAAAGAGAAGAAAAAGGCAAAAACTTGAAATTTGGGGGGGGGGGTGGAATGAGGGTAAAGAGAAAGAAGCTATGATGGAGTAAGAGAGACGTACGTCGAATAGAACTTCTGCGGTGTGACAGAGAACGGAGTGAAAAATAAGGCTCTCAAAGAAAAAATGTATTTTTTTCAGGGGCGTTATTGTGAATCCACAGTCGATTTAAGATGGACGCGAATGAAAAGACCTCGTTTTTTTTGTCGTTCAATTGAAGAGCAAAAGCACAGCAAAGCAAAAAAAAAAGAAGGGGAGAAAGCGATAGCGTTCGTCAGTGTGTTACGTGCGTGACACGGGTGTGTGTGTGTGTGTGTGGATTGTGAATTGGGACGAGAAGCAGCAAGAGACAATGGAAGGTACCAAGAAGGAGTATTTTAAAAAAGAAGGAACGCGCTCTAACTCTCTCACACAAACACACATTTGTCGCCTGGTACGAAACACCGATGCAACGGTGGCCCTCGAAGGTACACCAGAAGTGTGCCAATAAAACTTGCTCCGTCGGTGGCCTCACGATCCTTCTATGGCACCGTTGAACGCTGTCCCACGAACTACAGTCTCTCTCCTCGTTTTTGAGGGATACAGGTGCCACGCCGTCAAGAAGGCCGCTTAGCCTTTCCTCTCCGGTTCTTCGTACGCAACGCTCCATAATTGTCGTTTTTTTAAATGTGCAATATGAATATTTTTCTTGTATTGCGTTGGTAGTACTCGCCGTTTTCCTCCATTATCTGGAGAACTGCTTGCAGTTGTTTACGTTGTCTGTGAACAGGGAATAGGTAAATATGAAGTACAGTGCTTTCGCTCTGCTTATTCTCCCTACACATGGAGCCGCAGAGGAACGTCCCATCAGAGAACTTGATGTCTCTCCAAGGTTGTCAGAGAAGACTCCAAGCCATCTTATCGTGCTCAATCGAGGCGGCGTGCGTCGTTTCGGTTGATAGCGAGGTGCATCCGCAGCCGCTCCTGCTCCGCTTCGATCGCGCGGATCAAATTGGCTCGCTTCGCCTTACGCCGTGCACGTCTCAATTCTAATCGTGCTTTTCGGCGTTGTGTCTTTATTGCCTTCTGCTTTGCAGGCGGCGCCTTGTTTTGCTGGGTGGCTTTTCCCTCCGTCGACGGGCGGGCAGATGCCTGCATCAGCTCTTTCAGCGGACGGCGCAGTCGCTGCCGCTTCGCCGCCTCCTTCGCCAGCCACGCCGCCGTCTCTACTGGGCCGGCACCGGCCACCACCAACACCAGCTGTCCTTTGCGCAGCAGCAGCTGTGCTTCTTGGCGCAGGTAGAACGCGACAAGCCGCTCCGCCGTGTCGGCGTGCACTGACTCGTTCAGCTTTGTCAGCTCATGCATCACGTACACGCGGCGGTGCGGAAGAGCAGCGGCAATGTCCTGCAGCACCAGCAGAAGCCTGCGCGGCACCTCGTAGAAGACGCAGGGGTAAGTAGCGGGCGCCACCACTGAGCGCAGCAGCAGCAGCCGTGCCCCGTGCGAGTCGGGCAGGACATTGCCAAAGAAAAAGGAACCGTCTTGGAAAGACGGTGGCACGAGTCTGTCGCCGTCGTCGGCCGCTTTTGTTCGGTCTGGGGACTCGTACGGCGATGTGGTAAGTCCCGAGGCGGCCAACGCACTCATCACCGCAGACGCGCCAGGCACGGCCGTCACGCGCACCCCACTGCGCTGCATCTCCTGCACCAGCTCTCCGCCCACGTCGCCCACGCACGGGGTGCCGCTGGTCGTCACGAAGGCCATACTGCGTCCGCCCTTCAGCAGCTCCACCAGCTTCTCCCGCGTGGCTGTCCGGTTGCTGCGACTGTAGTGAATCACCCGGCCTTGGTTGGGAATGTTGACGAGGTCCAGCAGCGTCTTGGTCGCGGGGCGGTCCGTCGTGATGATGTAGTCTACCCCACGCAACACGTCGAGGGAGCGCAAGGTGAAGTCTTTCAAATTCCCGATTGGAATAGAGACGACATGCAGGGCGGCCTTATCGATGCTCGACGGCTTTGCAAGCGGATCGACGGCGTCCTCAGAGGCAACGCGCGTTTTGCGGTAATGGAAAGTGCCGCTGAGGAGAGAATGTGTGCTGGTAAAGCTGCGCGTGCCAGCGAGGATTGCGGAATTGAAAGACCTTCTAGTGGAAGCGGACGCGCACCCAGACGTTGCTAACCTCATGACTGTCACAGGCTTAACCGTCAAGGTCCAAGGAGCAGTGGGAGATGCGGCGTAACGCACCACAGATCGCCCTCAGCAACGCTACAGATGCTGGCACTGCAGCTTATGTGTGCGTGTGCGTGCGTAGAAGCTACTACTTTTGGGTGTTTCTGGAAGTAAACGAAAAAGCGCAAAAAGTAATCGGAGCAGCGGTTGAATGAAGAGATAGGGTGTGACCATTTCTGGATGCTTTCGTACAAGTATGCAATCTTCCAAATGTATGGAAAGAGATTCAAGAAAAAAAACGTTTTGTACGCAGAAGGCAAAACAAAGAGGTGTATTACAGGCGACCAAGCAGAACACTTTTTACCACCCAAAGGAGAAATAAAAAACCCTCTTGAGTCGCTATTTGAACTGGGGACGGTCTTGTCCTTTTCCTTTCACTTTTGTCATCAATTTCTTCGCATCGCTTTGTAGTTGAGTTCACTCCCATGTTTAGTATTAACCGACTTATTACGCAACATTAACACTGCGTACTCACTGGGTTGTGAGTTAAAACTGTTTTGCAAAAGGTCAAAGGAGAACATCGAAAAAATATATATCCTCATTCATTACTTCAACAGCTCATCGAATACCGAGAAGCTACGACAAGCCACAGCTACGTCGTGCGACGCGTCAACACCAAAGATGTGCCCCGACAGGCACAGAAGCACCGTCTCCTCCGCAAACATGTTCGCCGCCTCCTTCTGAAACAAAACATCCTCGCCGTTCGCGTCGTCTTCCGCGTCCCTATCTTCTTCGTCATCCAACTCCACTTTTCCTGCTGCTGTCAGATCCTTCAGCGTCGCACCACCGTCAGTTACCTCCGTGACTACTAAAATCGTCTTGGCAGCCGCTGCACTCGGCAGCTCACCTCTTGCGTGCAACTGGCGAAGAAGACGCACAACCGCCAACAGGCAGGACACCTGATCACGCGGCGCCTCCTGCGGTCCCCACAGGCAGTGGGAGCAGATCGTCGACGCCGCTTCACGAATGTTCGAGGTGTCATCGACCAACAAACGCAGCAGGATCAAAAACAGCGTCACGGCGCTCTCGGGACAGCTGGGAGCCGACACGCTGCGCCGCAGGAAAGGCTGCGCCGTGCGAAGCGCCTGCACGACTGCCAGGCGCGCCTCCAGCGGTTGCTCCGGCTCCGCGAAGTACGCGAGGGTGCGCGCCAAACGAGGCGAAATCACTCGCGCTGCTGCCGCCGCTGCGTGCATGTCGTAGCAGGCGGCCAGATCCAGTGCTGCGCTGCAGGCGTCTGAGTTCTGCCAAAGCGAACCGACCGCGGCGCTCGCAGCGTCGTCGTCGTTCACGGTGGAGGAGAGAAGATGAACAACAATCTCGTACAGTCGGTCGATAGCCGACGAGCTGACACCGGCGCTGAAAGTCTGCTCTGCATCGGAAACACCGTTGTTTGAAGAAAGCGTAAGGGAGGCGGCGGTGAAGCGCAAATGGGTGACGAGCTGTCCCCACGAGAGGCACCGGATGTTCGGCATGGTAGCCGCTGGCGTCGAAGCGGCAACGGCGCCGCTCTCAAAGAAGTCGGTTAAGGTCTGCGACACCAAGGAGCGGATATCGCACTGGACCTCACCGGCAAGCACCTGCAGAACGGCCGCCATTGCGTCCCGGTCTAGCACACCTGTTTTGTGGTCGCCGTAGTGAATGAGTTGCACCGCGACCCACGAAATCAGGTTGTGCTCTCCTTTGCGGATGTCCAACGCAGCAGCCTCGTGGTTGAGAATCTGCGCGACGCACTGCTGCTCCGCAGCCGACCACGCGCCAACAGGAACACAATGCTGCGCAGCCATAAATATGACAACAGCGCTGGCGCCCTCCATCACGCTGCCGCGCTCCAGGACACCTTGACTCGACAACACGTACGCCTGAAGCGACGCCACGCACAGGCCACGAAGTGCCTGCTGCTGGCTGTCAGAGAGGTGCTGCTGAGGACCGTAGTAGACAAGGTCGGCCAGCAAGCCGAATACGGCTGCAGCGACAGTGGGGCACACGGCACACACTCTCACAAGAACGGCGTGGCACGAGAGCACCACCTCGCAAATGGCGTGGCAGACCTCCTCGGCGACAGCAGGGGTGGCGTAGCTGCTGCGCTTTTGCTTGTAATGGCGTCGCAGCGTTCCAACGTACTGGGCGTGGAACTGCAGCAGCTGAAGCAACGCGCCGTGGCACGCGTTGACGCCACCGCCACCGTTTGGTTGCGGTTTCTCCTGTGGGCAGCCTTCATCGCTGACGTCGCAAGACAGCGGCGCCGCCTCGCACGGCAGCAAAGCGAGTCCACGCCGCGTTCGCGCAATCACGCGTGGTAAGGAGGCGATGGGCACCAAACAGCACAGCGCCACCGCGCTGGCGGAGCGCACCATCAAACTAGGTGAGCCGGCGCACTGCCGCACTGCCTCAGAGATGCGTGCGGCGTCGTCCCACTCGCCGTGGCTGGCTTTGGTGAGAAGGTGGGGCGGGTCGGGCGAAAGCATCGACAGCAGCTGCAGAACGGGGAAGAGGGCCACGTTCACCTCCACACTGGCAGACACACCTGCCGGGGGAGAGGAGGAAGAGACGTCGCCGGCCACTACATCCTCGATGAGGCCGTTGCCGCGCATCAGCTCCGCGTACGCGTACGCGACGCCGCGGGGAGTGCGCTTTGCCACGTCGTGCAGCGACGTGTTCACGCCGGAGCCGCCGGTGGACGGGTGCTCGCCGACGAAGCGGTGGAGGACGGCGGAGAAAAGCATCAGGGAGCTGTTGCGAGTGTACCAACTCGCGTCGTGGAAGCCCTCCGTCGCCAGGGAGAAGGCCTCCTCGATGTAGGCAACGACGCGATCGGCAAACACTTTATCCTCGAAGATGAACTTCAGCACATTTAGCGCGTTGGAGCGTTGGCTGCGGCGCACGTCGTCGAGGGTGCTGCCCAGGCTGTTGAAGTGACCAACGGTGCCTTCAGCAACTTGAAAGTTGCCACGGGCGACGCGTGTCAGCTGGCGCATCGCAGACGGGAACAGGCAGTAGGGCACCGCCGTGTCCTCCGCCTCCAGAACGGCCAGGATAGCGTGCGGCAGTCCCTGACTGCGTCGGAGCATGCGAGCCATGTCGCCGGACGTGACGCCCTCCGGACCCAGCAGGTACTCCAGCAGTTCAGCCGGCAGCTGATAAAACTGCGGCGCACGGGAGCGTACGAGGGTGGCGGTCAACGACTTGAGCGCTTCGCGAACGCAACGCATCACGCCGTTGTGCTTCGTGAGCAGCAGGGCATGCACCAGCTCGTAGGCGGTGCTGCGGACCACGTCAAACGGAAGCAGATGCACAGCGCGTACCTTGAGCACGCGATCCACCGCGGTGGTGGAGACGCGCATGCTGAGCCACGTGTTGTTCACCACCCCGCGCATCACAGACTCGGCCTCGGGGCGGCTGCGATCGTACACGTGGCCGCGGCAGTCTACCACCTCATCCGCCCCCACGCCCGCCGTTGCACCGGCGGTCACCGTCTCCGTTCCCACAAGGGAGCTGCACGTGCGCAGCACCACGCCGCAGCACCGGAGGAGCTGCGTGCACGCTTGAGTCAATACTGGGCCGCCCAGGACTGCCGTAGCCTCGCCGCCTGGTGCCACGCAGAGAGACAGATGGCGGTCCACCGCGGACATGCAGCCCAGCAGCTCCGCACAGAGCGACAGCGAGCCGTGCAGCGGGTTAGCTTGGATGTACGCGTACGACGAGCTGCCACGCATCGCACTCATGTAGGCGCACTTTGCCAGCACCGATGTGCGCTCCACTTCGAGTAAACCGTTTAACCGATCCAGCTCCTGCTGTGGGTGAAGCTGCGCGTTCGCCTGCGCTGTAAAGGAGTGCATGGAGAAGAGCAAGAAGCGCCGCACTGCCCCTTCCGCGTTGCGGTACGTCTGCGCCTTTAAGAGGTCCTGATGTGCCTGCTCAGTCAACGCGGAGCATGAGGCGTTGGCATCGTCGCTGCTGACGCCGCGGGCCTCTGCAAACACCGCAGCGGGTGCCAGCTCACAGAAGAGTTGCAGCAGCTCCTGCGCGCTGTCCCGTGCCTGTGACCAGCCATCCGACAAGGTTGCAATCAGCGACGGCACAGTGCAGACGTGAAGGAGACCCTGCCGTGCATTTTCCTGTGTCGCCAACCACAGCTTCTCTTGCTTCTCACCCTTCACGACAGTTCGCAGACCCTGCACCAGCACAACGTATCCCATCATCGCGGTAACGCGACGCTCCACTGCGAGTCCCGAGCTGGCGCGCAGGTTCACGCCTATGTTCTGCGCGAAGATCTCGGCGAGTCGCACGCAGTGCTGCATTACCGCGTCGCGGTACGCAGGAGTACCCAGCTCCAGCACATCCGATGTAGCCTCCGGAGGTGGTGCTGATGGTGGGGCCGCTACATCTGCACGCTCCTCCTTCCGCTGCTTCTTTGACGCCTTCGTTGCGTCGTGGCTGTCCCCTGCGTTGATGCCTTTACTCGTGTAGCTCTCCATGAGTCGGCGGGCCCACTTCTTCAGCATCTCCAGCAGCCCTTTCCGCGCCGTGCTGTCGCCGCCGAGGTGCATGTTTAGAATGAGGTATTTCTCCACCTTCTGCAGCTGCCACCGTTGGACCGCCTGGATCTTCTTTGAACCCAGCACACAGAGGCAGAGCGCACTGTTGCGGACCTCGTAGTTGAGGCTATGCATGCTCGCCTCCAGCACTGACAGGACGGTGCTGCCCGGAGCGATGTACGGCGCGATATCGATGCCCACGCCACGCGCACGAGAGAGTACCTCCACGACGCCTTGCTCCAGACGCTCGCACGCATGCGACTCCTTCACGTCGGCCAACGTAGCACTTCCGTCCCCAATGGCGGACAAGATCGTCGTCAGAAACGAGGGATCCTGCTTCATCAACGGAGCGGCAAAGTGAGCGGCAATGTGTGAAATGTTCACTGCCTCGCTTACGTTGGAGGAAACGCTCACGTAGCCCTTATCCGTCATCGCCCTCGCTAGCGGCTCCACGATGCCTTTGCGCAGCACACTCGCAACGGTCTCCGTGTGGGTGCTGTTCCTGCTGCTGCTGAGGTGGTGGTCGTCGTTCAAAGCCTTGTCAGAAGACGCACTCTTAAGTGCACCTGCAAGCTGCGCGAACACGTCACCCGCAACGTTGCCGATCTTGTGATTGCTCGCACCGGACAGCAACATGCGCGAGAATGCGGCCACAGCGTCGGCCATCGACGCCTCGCAGCGGTAGTGTCGCTGCAGCACGTGGACAAAGTTGGGCAGCGGCATCATGGACAGGTGACCTAGTAACGCGTGGTACTTGCCACGCCGCTCCGCCTGCACATCCAAGATCTGGTCCAGCGTCACGGCGGTGTCCGCTTCTCCGTTGACCACCGACGTTTCGCCACTCGTCAGTTGCTGTTGTTGGCACAAGTGAAGCGTGTCTTTGATTTTCAAGATTTCGTTGTAGGTGCCGTAGAGGGCGCCGGACATCTGCTGCGTGCCATCATCCCAGAGAGACATGATGAGCTGCGTCGCAATAAGCAGCGTTGCCTGCAACTTAGGCGTGGAGACACAGAGAGAGGTCAGATGTCCACGTGCTTGCTCCGTCAGCACGGCGCCCTTTTCCACTGCTGCCGAGCCAGAGCTCGATAACGTTCGTTGCTCTTCTGCCGCATCGCGTGATTTTCTCAGTGCAGCGGAGGCACCACTCAAGACCGCACTCACGTGCCGCACCACGCTGTCCACGGTTTGAATAGCCATAAAGCGTGTCTCAGGCTCCTGCACCGCGTTGCAGAACACTTGGGCAGCGGGCACAATGACGTCGTAGGCCACGACCGTGGAGGCGGGGCCGTGCGGATTCAGGAGAATGCCAAGCGACATCCAGTCCCCGCGGATGGGCGATGAGACGTGCGCCAGGATGCCCTTGAGAAGCGCGAAGCAGCCGTTCGGGGTAAAGGTAGTAAAAAGATCGTGCAACGCCTTCGCGCCGGTGCTGTGGTGAGCCTGGGCAGCGGCTTGCGGATCCGCAGCGCACACCACACCAAGTGCCACTTCCGCACAGACAAATAAGTCCGCCAGAGACTTCGCCTCCTTGATGGGTGCGCCACGCGACAACTCTTTATTCTCTTCTAGTGCTCCTGCGGCGTCTCCTGCGGCGTCTCCTGCGGCGGACTGCGTTACGTCGTCCCGCAGTGCGGCGCACACCGCCGACAGCAGCCACCCGTCACAGGTACGTACGGTCAGGATTGACGCCACCAAAAGCCCTACCGCGTTCAGCACGTCCTTTGGGAAAATAGGCGACGCGAGCATCACTACCGTCGGTTGTAGCAAGCGCGCGAGTTGTCGTGACACATCGCCGCCCGCGGTGCACGACAGCATGGCCGCGGTCAAGGAATCCATGTACTTGTGGATGTACGTGGCGACAACGCGCACGCAGAAACGAATGTGCTCGAGATCTTCGCCGAAGACGGTGCCGCCCACAGCCCCGGGTAGCGCCTGCGACGGAGTACCCTTTGTGCCGCTCGTGTCTTCTTTTGCTCTTTTGTTTCCTTCTTCCTCCTCCTCTCTCGTGCCGACGGCAACTTCCTCGCCCTCCTCTGCCACCGTTGAAGGAGGGGCCACTGCAGTGGCGCCGCGACTGGAGTCGCCACCCACCTGTGAATGGCTGTGGCTTGTGGCGTTCACGACCACCCATTGAAAGCACTCCGCGAGCAGCGGCAGCGCCTCCAGGAACGTGGCATTGAAAACGGAAGGCAGCATTGGCATAAGGGTGCTGGTCAGTCCGTCCACAGTGTTTAAGAAGTTCAAGACGGCGTCACGCGACGCACTGATACTGATGTGCACGTCGTTGGTCGCGGTAGGGAAGTAAAGCGCGGCCGCGGCAGCAGCAGCGGGCGATGCCTCGCTGGCAGAAGAAGTCGACGCGGCAGTTAATGCACCTGCGCCGGCGCGCCGCAGTACGCGTGTGACGTACATCTCCCGTACCACAGCCTCGAAATGGGCGTCGGGCGTAGGCACCAGGACGCGCAGGAGGGTCATCAAGGCCCGATGCAGATAGCGCACCCGACAGTCGAGCAGCATCGGTACGACTGCCTCCAGCGCCAAGGTGCGGCCCCACGTGTAGAGTTCGCCGGAACTTGCGGTCAGCAAAACTCCCAGCTGCGCCTTGGGGACGTCTTTGAGGGCGCCGGTAACCTTCGAGATGGCGTGGAGTTGCTGTGCGGGTGTGAGGGACGGCTGAAGAAGCTCCTGGAGGCCTTTGTCGGCAGCACCGACCACCTTCGCTGCGACTGCGGAATTCGACTTCGCCCTGCTCGTGAATCCCGACATCAGCGTGTGCGCCACATTCGAAATGAGTTGCTGGATGTCCTCTGGAACGTCGAAAGCGCTCTGCAGATCTGGGCGGCGCTGACGTCTCCGTGTTAGAGTAGGATCGGACTTGGCTTCCATTTTCCAGGGAGCGCGATTGTGTTCTTTTTTTATTATTATTCCTCTTTCAGTGATGTCGATGCTAATGCACGGTGGTGGGGATACGTAGATGGTTACTGCTGTGGTGTCGCGGCTTGTACTCGTCTCCTCAGATGTGAGTCTTCTCCCTCCACAATGTATCAGTCCTATTCAATCCAGGTCAGAGTAGAAGAAGAAAGTCCGTTGCTTTCACCTGACGCATTCTTGGTCAGTACGAGAGAAGGCTATGGGGAGAGCAAGAGAGGTGAGCGAGTGCACAATACATCGTTGTTGTTGTTGTTTTCTTTCTTTCTCTTTGGTGGAAATCGACGGTGGGATGGGATGGCAGTTTTCGCAAGGAAAGCTTGTTTCACGTCATTTTGAGTGTGTATGCGTGTGTGTGCGTGGGGGGGAGGGGGTATGAGTTGAACACAGCAAGACCGCCGATGCCTCCGAAGATGGGCGTTTGCTTTACATTCGCTTACCCAGCAGCACATTGCCCAGCACACAAAAACCCGTCGATTCGTTCAAGAAAAATCACAGATAAAAAAAACCTACAAGGCTGTTATCATTCTAGTATTCGTGTCATCTCTCTCACAATGGCCGTGCACTTTAGAAAACCCATTTACTTTGTTGTTGTGTTTAACGCCGTTGACGTGAAAAGCTGGCCTCACGAACAACACGCGAACAGCAAAAACCAAACAAGCAAATAGGACAAACCACAAAAACGCAAACACGCGTGCGCAATCGCGGCGAGAAGTTCCTTCGAGAGAGAGAGAGAGAGACCTGTTAAGAACGCCCATCCGATGAGACATGCACATGCACGCTGCGAAGTTGGCACTCTTGATATCTTCCCGCAACAGTCGAGTTATTGCGAAGGTTTTATTCAAGTCACGAGCTCTTCGCCTCTCCTTCCCTATCCTTCCATCGCTCTCTCTCTCTCCCTTCCCCTCTCATATTGAACCTCCCTGTCGACTCCCAAAATGGCGGGCAGAAGAACGCAGAATACAAAAATAATATTTAAGAAATGGTGACACAGCGGATTTGTTTCACAGTCCAGCGCTTGTGCGTTCTTTTTTTTACTTTTTGTTATTGTTGGTGTGTGTGTGTGTGTTTATAAGCGTGACCGGAAGCGTGCTTCACTTTCCTCAGCAGCACAAATACATCAGCGCCAAATCCGTTGCGGTTCTTTTTGCCCATGCACCAAAACACAGTAGCGCACAGACAGATAGGTGCGCCTCTTCCTCCCCTTCTTTAATTCTTTACCCTCAACCGATAGATCATCTACCGTCACGTCACAGCACCTCAAACACGTACGCATCAAAGCACCACATCAGTTACGAGCGAAACAACCTCCAAACACAAACACACCTACACAATCACTGTCAAGGAACTTAGAAAATAGAAAGGAAGAAATGAAGGGAGAAAAAATGGTCAGGAATGAAAAACGGGTAATTCGACGACGACGGCAGAAAAAGGGCAGGACACGATCAGTACACCTCACTTTTCGTTTTTCCCCTTCAGCGCGGAAGAAGCAGCATAGAACGGAATCGAAGAAAATGAAAATGGAAATCAGGAGGGGAGGCTTCCAGTCCCACATATGTGTATCGCAACACTTCTTTCGAGCTGCTGCGCGCCTCTTCTTCTTTTCCGGCAGCATCGACGCCCTACTCGTCGTCGTCGTCGATGATCGGACCGTTCATGTTCACGTACAGGTCTCCCAACACCTCCACCTCGTCGTCCTCGTCATCGTCGATGATGAGGGGCGTCGCGGCGGACGTCGGGAACATGAGCACCGGAGACTGCGCCGTCGTGGCGAGCGCTGCGGCCGCTGCAGCCCCACCTGCCACGCCCGCCACCGTGGACGGCGTGTCGGCCGTCGGCGACGCCGCCATCGTCCACAGCTCGCCGTCGTGGAACTTCTTCGTCACGTCCACGTCCGACGCGTCGACGCCGTCGACGGGAAGCAGCACCTGCGTCGGCGCGAGGCAGTGCACCTTCTGCGTCGCAAAGCTCGTCTGGTGCTCCACCACCTCGATCTCCGTCACGAGGTTCTGCAGCTCCCGCTGCACCTCGGCCCGCAGCTCCTCCAAATCGAAGTGGCGGTCTGCCTCCTTCAGCATGAAGTTGAACTTGCGGTGCGAGAGCGGCTTCCTGGAAGTGCGCAGCGCCTGCAGGTAGCCGAGAGCACGGTTCCACTTCTCGCGAAAGTCAAGGATCTGCGCCGCCTCGCCAATGCTGACGCGGAAGCGCTTCATCTGGCGGTTACAGGTGATGCCGAAGAAGACGACGCGGGTGCCCATCGAAGGAACTTCAACGGCGGCCGAGTACTCCACCTGCGGGTACAGCAGCAGCAGTGCGGCGAAGAGGTAGTTGTTGTTGACGGCCGAGACGCGTGCGCACGTGATGGTGCTGAGGAGGTTGCGCAAGTCGACGGCGACGAGGGCGGCGCCGGACTCCCACGCCACGCTGCTCGGACTGGCGGTGTTCGGCACCACCTTCTTCGCCGTGCGCACAAACACCAGCGCCCCGGCGCGGTCCTTCACGTTGATCGTGCCGGCATCGCGGACAAAGAAGAGGCGGCGCGCCAGGGCCACCGTCTCCAAGAAGGTGAAAATAGACGCGCTGGTCTTGATGCTTTGCGCTACGGCGGCCAGCGTCGCCGCATCCTCGAGGTCGTCGACAAAGGTGTAGTCGGAGATCTGCACACGAAGGTAGGTGATGAGGGTGCGGATGCGCTCCAGGCGGTCCTCCTTCACCTGCAGCTTCGCGGCGAACGCCTGCGCAGAGGCCCCGCTCGCCTTCAGTCGCCACCACTCCAGAAAGACGAGAACATCCGCCAGCAAGTCGCTCTGGTTCGCAATATCACCCGCGTACTCCTGCCGTGACTCCAGCACACCCTTCTTCCACGCGGCAAAAGCCTCGGCAGAGTCGCCGGTCGGGAAGCGGTAGGGCAGCGCGCACACGCCGGCCACCACCACGCCAACCTCGCTGTGTCCCAGGGCGCAGCAGTTAATCACCATGTGTGCCAGATCCACCTCCAGCGGCAAGCGAGAGGCGATCTCACCCGTGAAGGTGAGGCTGGCGTCCGACAAATTCGCAGTGAAGCATTTCTCGGAGAGGCTGTGCTTCACCTGCTCGATGCTCTCCGCATCGAGGGAGCAGACCATCTCCTGGTTCGCGTGCTCGATGGGCAGCTGGGCACGCGAGCACTGCAGCAGCGCATCCTCGACCTCGTAGACGGTGGGCTGCGGGGCTTCGGTGGTCGGCAGCACCGCCTCCGCCGCGGGTGGGTAGAGGGCGACGTAGGCGCCGGGAAACTTGGCACCCACCATCTGCTTCCGCTCCGAGACGTCTGCCTTCGACGCCCACTCCGACGCACTCGAGGCCATGAAGCCCTCCGATTTGTTCTGCACGGCGAAGCGGCGGGTGGTGCCCATGTCCAGCACAAAGGTCGCCTCTTCGTTGTTGTAGTTCGTGAAGGACACGACGGAGTGCAGGACGCAGACGCGATGCTTCGACGGGGTCGCAGCGGCGCTGCTGTCCTCCTTGGACGGAAAGCGGCCGGCGTAGACGGTGGTGTCAGGCAGCTGCTCCTTGTGCAGCGCGTCCACCATCTCCCGCGAATCGCCGGTGAGGATGTAAATCGCCTGCGGGCACGTCGGCGACGCGGCAAAGATGCGACGCACCAGCGCCGCAGCGACCTGCACGGAGTGGTCCACGATCTTGCGGTGCGGCCCGGGGTACTTGCCGGACTCGTCAATCGCGACATTCAGCACGTCCACCTCGGCCAGCGCGTTCGCCTCGTCGTACGAGAACTCCGTCAGCGGCCGCACCGACGGCGTGTCGAGGGTGGTGACTTTTTGGTTCGCAAAGAAGGCCTGCACCCGCTTCGTCACGGACCCGCTCACGCACACGACAAGGTGCAGCGATGGGGCGGCGGCATCGAAGTTGGCGCTCCGCCGGTACACGCGCTCGCGCAGGCCCCACAAAAAGTACGACAACAGCGGGTTCATGCGACTGAGGTTTGGCAGCACGAGGTGGGTGAAGGGTGCCATGCCGCGCTGCGCGGTCAAATACACCAGCGCCGTGTCCACGTCGGTCACCCAAAGCGTCGTGCTGGGCTCCCCGCTAAAAGACTGCCCGGTGAGCTCGCCGACAGGGCAGCTGCTAGAAGGGCTAAGAGCCTGAAGTGCGACAGCCACGTCCGACACGTCCGAGTAGTGCGGCACCACAACGAGCACCTTCTTGCCATCCTGTCGGCTAACTGCGACGGCGAGGCGGAGCGCGGCGAAGGAGCGCTGCAGCAGCACCACCTGATGCAACGCAGTCTCCGCCAGCCCTGCCACGTCAACGGTCTCCGTGACCGGTGACGCCTTGTTCTCGGCATTAGCTGCAGTAGCGTTTTGTGCCTCGAGGAGCTCGCCTAGCTTCTTCGACACCGCAATCGGGTCAGAGACCGGTTTGTGGAAGTCCGTACGCATTGTCTTGTTGCCCCCAAAGACGACACCTTGGCCTACTTGCGCAATCGCGTCGAGGTCGAACTTGAAGACATTCGAGTCCGCGCCAGCGGGGGCGAGGCTGCCAGAGTTCTCCGCCGCGGAGGCGGCCGCCGTGGCGTTCGTGGTGGACCCGTTCGCGGCACCTCCGCTGTCAGCTGCAGAGGTGGAACTGCCGTTTTCATTGCCGCTCGCGCCACCTCCGGCAGTTGAAGCAGCAGCTGCCGTCTTCGATTTGGAAGGGCTGCGCCGTTTCTTGCCCATGAGGGCTTCAATGTTGAACTGAAGGGTGGTGTTCGGGTCGGTCGGGAGGGCCGCGCCGGTGGTGCTCGGCGGCAGCGATCCGGGCGACACGGCACCCGGCGACTCCGTCGCTCCCGCCGTCGGTGAAGCGGAGATCTTACCACCTTTTCTTCCTTGGCGAGGTGCAATCGGCATTGGTCGTTTTCCTTTCCTGTTTCAATTTTCTCCAAAAAAGAAAAGAAAAGCAAAGATGTAAGTGCAAAGCTCGACGTACGAACTCAATATACACGTGTAAAAGTGAAAATGCTGTGAGAACAACGCAAGGAGCGAATGAGAGCGCAAATGGCACTTGCAAGTCACTGTGATGTGCGTTGAAATCGTTTGATTGTCTCTTTCCTTCTATGTAGTTTGAGCAATGTATCGTCGTCTCGTACGCAGGCTTCGTATGTGCAAACGGCGTTGCGTAACTGCTTTCCTCTTTGGTGCAAGAAGGTGCGGAGTTTATCTTTCACTGAAAAGAAAAGAAGAAGAAGGAAAGGATAGCCCTGAACCTACGATGATGTGTATGTATATATGTGAGTATATATAGCAACACGTTTTTTTGGCTTCAACAAAGAAAAAGGTTGTAACTTATTTTACAGTAGTAAGTGGTGCACAGCCGTGATGTGGGCCTTCCACTTTGTCGTGCTGACGGGAAGCGTGCGTTACGCAGGAAAACAAGAACACACAAGATACGAAAGAGGAATATATATA